CAAGGTCGGATCTTGTTCCAGACAGTAGCTTGCACAACTGAGTCAAGGTCCACGACCAGCGCATAGCCGGATGAGGACCCGACATAACTCTGTCCGCCACCTAGATTCAAAAACCCGACCACATCGGCGATATGTGACTGTGCTTGATCGCCGCTATCCTGTGGTCTCGTCGGGGTTTGTGTCTTCAGGGTGTTAGGGCTAAGCGCTTCATGTAATGTGGAAATGGAATGGATGCCAGCCTTGTCACTGCTGGTGGTAGTAGGGGAGCCAGAATGAGGGAATGTCTTGAGGCACTCGACACCAGCTTTCCAGCAGTTGCTGCAAGAGGGCGAGGCAGAGTCACATGCCTGCTTCCGCCTCTGACATCTGTCGCACGCCGTTCTTTTGGAGATCCTCTGACGCTTGCGAGGGGTCATGCTATCGTCCTGCATTATATCGGGCTTGAAGAGATCGGATAATCCTAGATCGTCAAGATGTGCGGACTAAGCTACCTGTACACCAGGAGAGGGGGAATCGAAGCAGATTACGGCATCTCGGATCGATTAAGAAGGCTGAGTCACTAGCCTATCGCCAATGCATGATGACTTCCTCTACGTCCCCAGTTGTAGTTGATAAGGACGTCCAAGCCAAGTCGGGTAGCAGGTGTACTTATCAAAAGTGGCGATTGGTAGTCCACTGCGGAGTATCTAACTGTACCTCGGATATGGCCGCGACTCATCGTGCTAGAACGTGTACTTTTGATAAATGTGTGGAAGTGGTTTATATTCATGAACACAGTCTGCGAGATTATCTGATCAGAACCAAGTCAAAAAGGGCCAAGTATGCTCAGTAATGCATTACGCAGCATACGGGTAGGCTACCTAGAGAATATATTTAAAGTCCAAAGCCCGATCTCCTTGCTTGCCATTCTCAGTCGCACCCTCAGCGATCAACTTCTCCTTCTGGTTATTTCTGTAGCGCAAAAGCAGGTAAATTGCCACGATACCGAACATGGCCGCGGTCTCCATCCCCAGAGATACAGCATTGCCCATTATATACCTCGGTCCATCGCTCGAAGGATAGATTTGTGATGAAATAAGACCGGAGATGTTTGCCAGCGAAGCAAACAGCGGAATGCCCACCGACCGCTTGTAGTCAGGTTTGAGGTTGTTGCTCACCCAGGTCAGGAGCATCGTATTGTAAGGGTAGATCCCTGTGATATGTTGTAAGCAATAGTCCGAACATTATTTGAGTCTGTACCTACCAGCAGCGCAGAGGAACATGGCAAAGTATCCAGCTCCGATGCTTTCACTGGCTATAACGATGATATAGCCGATGAGGACAAACCAGGTTGCAACGACGGCGACCACTGCCCTTCGATTCAGTTTGTCTGACATCCACGATGCAAATAAAAGGCTAATGCATGCAAGGATGTAGACAGGAATTGTCAGATAGTTTGCTTGCAGAGACGTATATCTGCTGTATGTCAGCGCTTGCTTGTGAAAAAGACAGAAACACTCACCCTAAACCCTTGATGATTGTTGGCAGAAACGTGCCGAACCCGAAAAGCGGCACCGAAGAGCAAAAGAGACTTGCAGCTGCAATGTAGATGAATGGATCGGTTAGAGCCATCTTGACGTAAGACCACGAGAACTTGTCTTCTCCTTTATAAATGGCATCACGTTGTTTGCGAGCCATCATCAACTCCTTCTCCTCTTCGTTGAGAAACCAAGCCTTCTCGGCTGTAGAAGGCAAAGTGAGTCAACAGAGCCCACCCAGAACAAAGGAAATGATTCCCTCGATGATAAATAGCCATCTCCAAGCCTCGAGGCCGTTTCTTTCTCCCATGGTCTGAATACCGTACGCAATCAGACCTCCAAAGGCACCGGACAGTGCACTTGCTCCGTAGAGAGACGCCACACGCTTGGCCTGTGATCCTCGGGTGTAGACAGTCGAGATGAAAAACGTCAAGCAAGGGAACAAACCAGCCTCACACGCACCGAGAAGGAGCCGCATGACGAGAGCTTGAGCGTAGTTCTTGATGAAACCTGTCCCCAGAGTCACAACACTCCAACAAACCATGGCGACGGCAAGAGTCTTGTTGGCGCCAAAGCGCTTCACGGACATGACCCAAGGAATCTCGAAAACAACATATGTCACGTAGAAGAGAGTCGAGATATTGTTGAACTCAATACCCTTGAGCCCGATGCCTTCTTCGAATCCAAAAATTCTTGCATTTCCTTTGTATTTTGATACGGTTAGTGGATGGTCAAGTTTATTGGGTAGAGAGGTGGCTGCTTACCGATGTTGGAACGATCAAGATAAGCCAGGATGATCAGCATGGCCATCTGGGGAAGGAGGAACTTGTCGTATTTTGCCATGGTGCGACGTTCCAAAGCAGGATCGATGTAGATGTCATGGCTTCCATGGATGGAGGATGCGGTGACTGCGTCTTGGGGTAGGACTTTGGTCTCTTTGGTCTCTTCTTCTGCCGTATACATTGTGGGCGGGATTTGTAGTACAATATCAATGGATAGTGAGTGTCTCTCGCTCTGGTCTTCCGTTAACGTTGGGTAGAAGCTTCAGATATATGCAAAAGGGCGTACCCTAAGTTCGTATCAATGACACCTCTAGAAGGGAAATATCTTGGAAAGCACCCGTGCAGGGTCTGCTGAACTCGCATCTGACCTGTCAACTCGGCCGTCCGAGAAGAGGAGGTGTGTGATGCCGATCTCTCTACTCCAACTCACCAATATGATACATGATAAGGCGATACCAACATGTAGTCGGGGTGGAGCCGTCGGCGCTCCGAAACGATACTTTCGGACAGTGGAGTTCGCTCTCGGTTAGCAGGTTAACGGCACAGAAGCGAACACTTCGACACCTCTGAAAAGGCTGGTAGATGCTTCCTCGGCGACCACGTTTGAACAGGAGACGACCTGGACCCTGAAAGTACATCGATTAATCTTTGGGAATGCTGCTGTGCACTCTGTTACCTCATATCGGAGCAAGTCTGGTGAATGAAAAAGGGAACAACAGCCAGGATCAAGTGATCCCAACGGATAAGTCCGATTGCAAGTGACTGCAAGCAGTAACAGAATCTCTACTCGCGAGGATACAGCAACACACCAGAAACCATACTCAACGATGCCGACAAACATCAGTACCACGGCTACTTGGAACGAGCGAAGTGCAGCAAAGAAGAAGTCGGTCCTGAATGGAGTGCCGGCCAAATTTATCCATGACGGCCTTGAATTTCGAGATGACGATATCACCGCCGTGCTGGATATTCCGTCCAAGCTCCTGGCCGAGGAAGAACTTTCTATTACAGTATTAGATGCTACGACAGTAGTAGCAGCCATTGCGAAGAAGAACTACTCTTGCGTCCAAGTGTTGGATGCATTCACCCACCGAGCCGCGATTGCCCACAAACTTCTGAATTGCTGTCTCGAGTTCAGGTACGGCGATGCCCGAGCAGAAGCTGAGAGACTAGACGCTCACTACCGGGAGACGGGAAAACTGGTAGGCCCTCTGCACGGCTTGCCCATCTCAGTCAAGGATCAATGCCGTATCGTGGGCACCGAGACCACCTGCGGATTTGTAGATGGGATTGGCAGGGTTGACACGGAAGACTCTGTCTTGGTCGATATATTGAAGCGTGCTGGGGCCATCATCTTTGTCAAGACCAACCTGAGCATTGGATGTTTTTGGGGAGAAACCATAAACAAGTAAGACAAATCCATTTGCCTTTTGCATTTGCATTTGCAAAGAAATACATGGGCTAATGGGTCAGTGTTATTGGACACACTTCGAACCCTTTCAATCGTTCCTTTTCATGTGGTGGCTCTAGTGGTGGGGAGGGTGCGTTGTTAGGAATGCACGGTAGCCCTATGGGTGTGGGTTCAGATCTCGGGGGATCTATACGAAGGTGAGTCGGTCACCGGTCGATCTCAAGGCCACCAAAGATTGATCGTATCTTCCTACACAGTCCATCCGCATATCAGGGTCTCTGGGGCTTGAGACCATCGACAGGTCGCATTCCGTACTATAAGATGCTCAACAGTATGGAAGGCAACGAGATCGTGGAGTCGGTGGCAGGACCCATGTCTCATTCCCCAGAGTCACTGGAACTGTTCGTCAGAACTGTCGCGGATTCGCAGCCCTGGCTCCATGACCCGAAATGCCATCCACTGCCGTGGCGAGAGCACGAATTCCGGACGGTGACTATGGGAGGCAGAAAATTGCGGATTGGACTCATGTCCTGGGACGGCTACGTTCTTCCACAGCCGCCCATTCGTCGAGCCATGAATGAGGTTGTGGAGAAGTTAACAGCCGCGGGACATGAGATTGTGCCTTGGAGAGTCGACCAGAAGAAGGCATTGTCACTCTTGGTAACCACCCCTTTTTCAGACCCAGATATTCACCCTTGAATACCTGTGCTAATAGAAATTGGTCTTTTTCAGACAAGAGCATTTACCTGTGATGGTCGCGGTGATCATGATAGGACTATTGCAAGGTCCGGCGAGCCCGACCTGAACCTTTTCTTCCGTTCGTCGCAACGACCCGACACGTTGCTCGAAAACTGGGCGCTGGCTATGGAGAGGAACGACTTCAGAGCCGAGGTTCTTGAGCAATGGAACGCGACAGTAGATGAAAATGGCGCTCCAATAGATGTGTATCTGACTCCTGTCAATCCCTCGGTGTGTCCCAAGCATGGTGATTACAAGCGAGTCAGGTATCTAGGGTACACGGGGACAGCAAACTGTCTTGACTTTACTGCCTGCACCATTCCTGTTTCATTTGTGGACCCAGAAAAGGATCTGGCAGATGCGGAAGATGGCGCCCACGACGCCCAGGGAAACAAAATTCCCTCGCCCGTATCGGATCTGGACAGGGCGATCAGGAACAACTACCGACCGGAGATATATGGTGGTTTGCCGCTGACGGTCCAGATTGTCGGTCGTAGACTGGAAGAGGAAAAAGTTCTGGGCATCGCACAGACAATCCGACAACTTTTGTAGTCTTCACTTTGACCTTTGGTCCCTGGCAGATATTACTTCTATATGGAGCTGCATGATGCTTCCCTGTCTACACACTTGACCTTGCATCCTGCTCTTGGTGTGTTGTAACAGGTGCCTTCTCTTCATCTCCGACAGTTCTCTCAATCATTCCGTGATCCTCTTTAGACAGAGAGTCTTTTACCCGCCTATGCTCATGGTCTAGCTCCATGCGAGGCTGCTCTGCCCATTTCTTCGCCGGGATACCACGGTTGAAGAAATCCTCAATCTCTTCCATGGACCGACCAGTCACCTCACCGACACAGAAGTAGACGTACGACAGTGACACGAAACAGAGGCCGGTATAGATGAAACCAGTCTTAGGGCCCAGGTTGGCAGAGTAGTATAAATAGGGTAGCGTGAACACAGTTGCCCAGACAGTGATCCAGAAGGATGCCACGGCCAGGGCGTAGATTTTGTTCCGGTTGCGGCCAACCGCCATTTCCGATGCCTAGGAAAATTGTTGTCAGCCTCAATGTAATTACATTTGTAAAAGAAGAGGTCCCAACAAAGTCCTTCAAGGGGGCCTCAACTTACCATTGTCCATCCTAGTGGGCCCCAAGCAAAGTTGAAAGCCACGATTTCAATGATGACGAAGGAGATGATGACCTTGCCGAAAGTCTTGCTCACATCACCACCAGGGATACCGAGACAACCGACGATGAAGATAGACACGGTCATGATGGAGGTTGTGATCAGCAACAGTGGCCTTCTCGGGATCTTGTTGGCGCAGAGAACGGCGGCGAAGACGACAAAGACTTGAATTATGAAGACGATGAGAGTCATCAAGAACGGATCCTTCAGGCCAATGGCCTTGGAGAAGACGGTCCCAAAGTAGTAGAACCATTGGATGCCGTTGATCTGCTGGGCGATGAGGGCTCCGGCTGAGTAGATGAGCTTGCGGCGCTCCACTGGGTCGGTGACGAGTGACGCCCAAGAGGACTGAGATGCAAGTTCGTCTTCCTTGTCGACGTTGTGTCGCAGGGTCGCGATATCCGCCTTTGTGTCGTAATTCTTGTCCTCTCGATGAACGAGCTTGAGTGCCCTTTCAGCCTGCGCGTCCCTGTTCTTCCGTACCAACCAACGTGGTGTTTCCGGTACGAACCAGATCAACGCCAGGACGAGTCCCGGGAATAGAAACTGCAGGGCGATCGGCAAGCGGTACGCCAGCGACGTGTGGTTGTTCTCCATGCCTCGGTTGATGGCAGCGGCGATGATCTGCGAGACAGACAACGTGAGCTGCCAGCACATGAGGAGGGGCCCGCGGATGGCTGTAGGTGCGATTTCCTGTCGATCAGGTACCTAGTTAGCATGGCAAGCCTCGTTCCAAGCAAAAGACGATGGAAAACATACTGCAATATACAATGGCGACGTCGAAGAGAAGGCGCCAACTCCATAGCCAAGGATGGCCCGTCCAGCTGTCATGTATTTTTGATTCGACTCGGTAGACAGTTGCAACACGACTCCGACTATGGTCACTATGGACCCGATGAACAAGACACCCTTCCTCCCAAAATAATCATTGAGAGGTGCAGCCGTCAGAGACCCGACCAATTCGCCCACGTTGATCATCGATGTCATGATGGACAATTGCGAGGGGGTTATGACCTTTTCGCCATCAGCGTTCGTGGTGCCGAAGTGTTCGATGAAGACGTCCTATCAAATTGTCAATGGGATTATCAAGACGGCGAGACAGATCAAGACACGTACCAGAGTAGATACGCCATTGAAGTAGACGCCGTCATAGCCATATAGGCAGGCACCAAGGGCTGCAAAGGCACAAAAGGTCCAAGCCCAAGGGTACTTGATGTTGAACATTATGGAAGGTCAATGTGGAGGTGAAACTGAAAGCCGTTTAGGCAAATGATTGTGGCAAGGATGGTCGTGAGGGTGGTTGCTGAGATAGGAACGCGATACTGCTCTGTGAAGTCGCCATCTCAAGTTCTGACGCTGGATATATAGTCTACGTCGTCGAGAAGAGAACGGCAATTCCCCAGATTGTCTCGTGCTGAAGTTTTGTGGACTACACAGGACTAAAACTCCGCCATTGGTGGAGACGGCCTGGATGGGAGTTCCGCTGGCCTATAACGTGTCTTGCCGTGCCTCTTCGGCCGCCGTACTTGGAGCCGTCGCCGGACATGCCGGCCGAACGGCCGTCTGCTTCTCGGCGGGCGACACTTGTGGTGCTGCTGTTCTTCCCGACTCAGGGTCCCTGATGTTATTGCATCCATTAGGAGACTTGTGTTTTCCTTTATAAGATGTTGTAGACGTTTGGGCTTCCGATGTTCCTGGAAATCGATTGCGGTAGAATAGATTGCGAACTCGGTACATCATGGTCATCGAACTAATAAGATCCAAAGCCAAAAACGAGAATTACAGTCGACCCTCGAAAGGCCAGGCTTCAGCAGATGCTATCCCTATCCTTATCGATGATACCTATCATTTATTTCATTTAACAACACCTCCGTACACGATTCATCACCCTCCTCGATTGCGGTCTTCGTGGTTGCGAATTCGTTCCACAGATCTTGAGAGCTGGACACGGGATAGTGTTCATGCGATCGCACCAGGCTCCCATCCTCAGGATCCAGATGCCGATGGTGCTTGGACCGGGTCTGCCCTGATAGGACCAGATGGAAATCTCCAGATCTTCTACACCGGCTACAATCTAGCCCACGGCGGTCGACAGATCATTCTGAGGGCATTGGGTTCTGACAGGCATGGCTCGAAGTTCAGAAAGTTGGTCGAGCCTTTGTTCATCGATCCCAAAACTTCAGCCCGAGGGGCTTTCGAGGACATCGATTTTAGAGACGCCTATGTCTTTTTCAATGAACAAGTCTCGGAATACTGGATGATCGTAGGCACGAGACTGTCCAATGGTCCCCGGTGGACAAGGGGCTGCCTAGCCTTACTTACATCTCTCGACCTGGAGAAGTGGACACTGCACAGGGAGCCACTATATGCCCCCAACGACATGTACTGCCCTGAGTGCCCCGAGCTCTTCAGCCTGCCGAATGGAAAGTGGTATCTCTTCTACTCTAGATTTGCAAGTCCGGACGCAGGCACTGTGTACCGCATCGCCGATAGTCCGTATGGTCCATTTCGGGTACCTAGGGATGGATCCCACGGACGGCTTGACGGGCGACGTTGGTATGCGGCAAAGTCATGTCCCAAGGCCGGTGACCCTTCGAAACGAATCTTTTTTGGCTGGACGGGCGACTACAATGTAGAGGACGGCAAGTGGCTTTGGGGCGGAGACATGGCATTACCAAGGCAAGTTTCAGCAAACCTGGATCATACCTTAAGGATGGACCCCCTAGGAAAAAGTACCAAAATCTGTACAAACCTGTTAGACGACCTCAACGGCTGGGGAGGCAGCTCCACGCTCGAGCTAGCAGCGATCGGAACGACAAAGACCCATCCTTTGCGGTCATGTCATGGGGCGGAGACCTCTATGAATTACCTCGAGTTCAGTATTGAAAAGTGCGAGGCAGCATCATTCGGAATTTTGTTCTGTTATGACTCAGATATGCGAGGTCACAAGATTTTCTTTGTTCCAGATACCAACGAGACTTTGACATTGATCTTACGTACAGATCTTCCCCCGTTGGATGATTTCTGGGCGGATCAGTATAGCCTCCATCTTCCTCGGGGTGTCGATGGCCCAGATATCGTCCGCCACGATCATGTGAACATTCAGGGCCAGGCACAACTTTTTATGGAGGGAGACCTCTTGCACTTCTTTTTCGGTGGGCGGGCTATGACTTATCGGATGCCACCTCGGAAGGGCGGAGTCACTGCGCAGTCTTCCGAAGGGATCAGGAACGGAGAAATGAACGGTGTGACCAGAGCTGATAGTGGTCGGAAACAAGATCATTGTAGTGAGACTACGTTCGCATTTTTCGTTGAGGATGGAGAGGTATCCCTATCTAATATTCGCTTTAGATAAAGCAGCGTCCGCTCTTCGACGCTCGAAGAATGTAAAATTTATTAAGGAGGCCTGAGATCCATACCTTCAAGCAAGTCGAACGAGTTGAAGTCCAGAGCTGCCAAATCCCAATTAGCAAAGTTCGAAAAGTCGAATTCTTGCTTTTCTGCCTCACGAAACCCAAAGTCAGCACTCTCGTCGGGGCGGATTGCTAGCGCATGTTCAAGGCCTCGCAAAATTGCTCCTTCAAGCCTGTTCGCCGCATAACGCATAGGCTCGCTACTTCGATTCATTGTTCGTAGAGTCCAGATGTATGAATTCAGAAGATCTTGCCAGTGATCGCGCTCCTGGGAAGACACCGATGTTACTAGAAGTAAGGTGATGAACGAGCCAAGTAACGAGAAGATATACGAGGAGGCTACACGCTACCAGTTAGTTTCAAGGTAAACTTGCGAGAGAACGGCGTAGAAATGAAAACCATACCTGAAAACCAGAACGCTTCCAAATGGTCGGGGCGGAGAGAAGTGACCAACTTCATAGCAGCCTGTGCAACTTCAAAACCGACTTTCCTGATCTCGGAGAGAACCTCATTATTCTGGGTCCTGGGTGGTAAGGCCGCGGAGCGAACCAGACGTCGGACCAAGTTCATCATTACTCCATGATAAGCTAAATGTAGATAACCTTTATATGTGTTAGAACATACCCTTCTCAATATGGGTAAAACATTACCGTGAGGGCTAAGCTGTCGCTGGTATCTAACAGTGAGACTGACGCTGGCTGGCAAGTCTATGTACCATTGCTGAAGCTGTTGTACCAGAGGCATGATGGAGCAGAATAGTTCGTCGCAGTCCTGGCTGGCTGAGCTGTTTAGGGTATAAAAGCGGTCCTGTATTTCACTCAAGTACTGGCTGAGATGAATCATTTCTAGAAACTGAGCTTTCCCAGCAAGCTCATACTCGTTGGATTCTACTTCGGGATTCGGAGTTAGATCATCAAAGTCTGCAAGTGTCAACGCCTCTAAACCCCAATTAGATCCGTGGATATGTGATGGCCTTCCAAATGCCATCGATGTCCATTTATCTTGTAAGAAGAGAGCCCAGGCCAATCGTTTACGCAGATTCTTCTCCCATTGAGGGATTGACCAACCTGAGCAGTCCAGATGGAGGCCGATGCATTCTCCAACCGCGAGTGCCTGTGAGACGTATCCCCACACAAATGTGTGATCTGGGTTGAGCGGATTTTCCGGCTTGCATTGTAGAAACAATAGGATGGCCTCAATCGAAGATAGCCTTGGTAGGTGGTAGGAGTTTTGAATTGCTTGAGAGGTTAACTGTCGAAGTAGTCGGGAATCGGGAGGCGCTTGAATGCTCAACTCCGTGTCATAAGACCACCAGGTGAGGGATATGAGATATACGGCCCCAAGCAGGGCTGGAGAGATACGGCGGTACGATCTCTGATATTTTTCCATAAACCCGGCCTTGAAGAGTATTGGATAAGATGGTTGTACCATTCGCCAGAAAAGTTGGACTAATCGAGCTCCATGTGGTTGGACGCAATCTTCGATAGAGTCAGCTTCGGTGTTGGTGGTGGTGGAGACTTGGACTTTATCGTCGGCTACCACATGGAATGTGATAGGATAGTTCCGCCCTTGATCGGTGTCCTGAACCCGGCGTATACTATGAGTGTCAAGTTTGAACTCGTGTGAGATGGGATCATATGGTCGATGGCGCTGTGGCTGTCAGCGTGTTATAGCAATTTTTATGGAATGAAGGTTCACCATCAGAATAGGTTCCATGTCGCTTGTGAGACCGTAGAGTTCAGCAAAACGTTTACCTGCCAACCCAAGGGTTTTATCTTGATTGTTAGTTCTTGGTGGTCCTGAGAATGCTGACATGGGACTGACACCCAGCGCTTGTGTTTCTACAGGGGCGGACGAGGCTGTCACACGAGCTGCATTCGACTCCGGTAAAGGTTGGAGGGGCGTTTGTTGAGGCAATCCATTGGCGACACTGGATGCACGGTCTGTTGCCCGTGGCGCTATGACAGTGGGCATCCTTTGTGGCGGGTCTTTTGCATATGTGCAAGCGCTGCCCCGAGCTAGACAATGCAAACAAGAATCAGATGCTTCGGAAGGTGTGCACTTTGTCTTGCGAAGCCGACAGACATCGCAAGGTCGAGTAGCTCGTCGTGGCTTCTTCTGCTTGGTCAGCTGTCGACCCTGAAATGCATTCATTATCGTGGGGGAAGCTTTAGTGCTGAATCATTGTAATATTTCAAGTGAATCGATGTTGATTTAGGTATGAGGCATGAGTACGGGGAATCATAAAGATAAGGTAGTATTGTCACAGGGGCCTTGACCGTTAAGCTGCTACGGGGGAGCATGAATGCTCGGAAGAGCAACCACGTGCATCTATTTATCAATTAATGCCAAGCAGTTCATCCGTAAAGATGCCGTAATCACGCGTTTAGCGGAATCATGATCCTCATCTTTCTCAACCTCCGGTGGTACCACATCCTCCATTTATAACTCGTATTCATGAGAAGCTGACTGTGTGATACCTCTAACGGTCTCTGCTGGTCAGAGATTGCGCCTTGTCTCTATGATGGACAACGAAACATCATCTTGACCTTCACTCTTCAATTTCTTATGTTACGTCTCCGAGTAGGAGCATATGACAAAGTCAACAACTACCATGACAAATATGTCGAGGACAGTTACATGTTCATGCCAAGTCTGATACACAAAGATCCTTTCCTTCAATCAAATATCTATTCTTCAACATAGGGCATTGCCTCATCTGCGATCGTGCAAGCATGGCACCACCTCAAGCCAATATTTTCATCACATACAGCAATCCCGAGGAGTTCAAGAGCCAGAAAAATCGACAGGCTGTCTCTTCATTCGCTTCGAGGAGTTATCGTCCCACCTCGAAGAAGATAGTTCTAGAACGGAACAACTATCGGCCTTTTACGCTGCGTCATGATGGGCCAGCTTCTGCTTCGCCAGGTTCAAATGACAAGATCAAGCGAAGAACAATTCCTGCAAAGAAACATGCTTCTCCTTCCACGGCCGACGCACAGGAGACGCCAGCGTCGAGACAGATACACCCACTCGATGAGCGCGCCCTGGGTAGTCCCTCGGCGGACCCGTTCACCACTTACCCGATAGCGTTCAAGCCTTATGTGCCTTTTCTAGTAGACTACTGTGAGCACACTCTCCCTCCGCATCGACCCCTTACCGCAGTAATCCTTGCATGGTTTTGTCAGAACTGGCCAATCCAGGTGAAGACACACTTTCTTGTTCCCACTGAGCTAGATTGCTAGCGTTGGCGCATGCTTGCTTTTCCAGCCAGGACAATACTCCGTACTAACCATTAAACGCTCTTCTCGTTAGTTATTCGATGCCTCACTCCTCGCTTTAGTCCCGCACTTGCTGTCGAAACTAGTCGGTATCTCATCTGGTTCAATGTCGCCATGCACCACGCCGAACTATTCCATGCCTTGGTCGCCTTGAGCCAAGTCTACTACGACATCGACATGAAAGGGTTCGGGACGACCCACTGGACTGCGCTGTATCATCGAGGCGAATCACTCAAACAGCTTAGAGTCAAGGTTGAGAACGTGCAATGCGCCGACGATGATGCGGCTATCCTGACTGCCCTTTGGCTGATGGACGTCGATGTGAGTCGTTCTATGTCCTCCAGCCATCGCACACACACACACACACGCATATGCTAACTGTTTACTGTTAAGGCTGCCCATGGTGATCTTCAGGCATACGCGATGCACAAGAGAGCAAAAGAAAGGATGGTCGCCGGACGTGGTGGGATAAGGAGTCTCCACCCAGAATTGCAGGACGAACTTCTAAAGTAAGCCGCGATTGCTTTGCACAAATGTGCTTTGTTTGGAAATCATCGAAGCTGATTGGTCTTGGGGACACGACAGGAGTGAATTTTTCCTACCCCTTTTATTGCATGGACGATTCGTGTGCGACTTGACCTCGGATGGCGACGTTTTGGTCCAGTTCAGAGAAAATCGGCCTGTCCAGACATCTAAACTAAACCGATTTCCGAAGTTCCTGTCGATTGTCAGCGACAAGGGTCTCCTGACTTCGCAAACGGTAATTATATTGCACCGACTCTACGATCAAGTGTCGATTGAGCCTCATCAATCCGAGTCCGATTCGCCCCTCAACGTCGGAGATCCAAATTTCAACGAGATGAGTCGAGTGCTCCAGATCGCGGATGAGGTGCACCTTGAATCCCTCGAGCATCGCCTGATGCTGGCGTTGTCAATATACATATTTAATTTCCACAACCAGCCACAAAGCCTACCTAGAACGCGAGTTCCGTCGTCCACGTCGACCGGAACAGTCAGACACTCGCATCTCAAGATTTTGTCACAGGTCGCCCTCGAGCTATGCCACCCTACGACCCCCACCACAGCAAAGACCGAAAGAGAAGTCACACTATGGACGATGTTGGCCATTGCGGCCGCGTCGAGCTTCAGTCCCTGGAGGCTAGAGATCCCCTTCATGGGACACTTGATTGACTGGATGGACAATGACGAGGTGGCAGAAGTCGAGCAACACCTAGAGACGCGCGAGTCACATGCAACAACGAAAAACAAACCCGGTACCATCTCATCCTCTCCAGGAGCAATGAGTGGCCACCAGACAAATAATCCCGTCACCAACTTGGAAAAGTTGACAACTTGTCTGAGAGGGTACTATCTATATGGCGCAGATAAGGAAACATTAAAAAGTCTTCAAAAATGGAAAAATACAGGCCAATCTCATGGGTTACTAGAATATACATGATCTCATGGTTTGCCAGAATATATGCGAATATCATAACCATGTATACTGTCATGTAAAATACAAAATCACGACTACTCAAGGCTTTTGAATCGAACCACGTGTTTAGATCGTGTTACATGATGCTATTACACTATAGAATACAGATCAGAACACATACTGTCCGTGACTTTGGTACCTTAACCATCTCTAACTAACCGTAACACATCACCCACGAGGTACAAACTCCCCGCGACACAAACCGTACTACCATCGTGGCCGGCAATCTTTAGTGCTCTGACCAGAGCTTCCTTGACGTTGCCATCCCGTGCGGCTTCTGCGACAGATGGTGTGTGGGAGATTGTCCGTTTTGCGACCTGGAGCAAATCACGGGAAGCCATACTCTTGACCCATGGCATACCGTCGACGGGCCCAAAGGAACAAGTCACGACGTTGTCTCCCGGCCTGAGCAAGATTGACATGATGGCCGCGACGTCCTTGTCACTCTTGGCCGCGAGGACCCAAGTCATTTTTTGGTTTGGGCTGCGCGGCCGAACAGTGTCGTCGACATAGGCCGCTAGAGCGTGAACGGATTGTGGGTTGTGAGCGCCGTCGATCAGGACCATGTTGTGCTGATGTCTTGTCATCTTGCTCGCGGTCGTCTTTTTGTTCGATGTTTCTTCATCATCATGGACCAACAAGTGGTCGGGGATTTCGAGCCATTCGAGACGTCCTCGTAATGAATTGTGAGCTGTCGTCACCAACTGTGGTAATTCTTCTGCCCTCTGTTTCACATTTTGTACCCAGTCACCACTGTCACCGACGTGTTGACCCGTAGTATTAACACCGCTCACTTTTCTTGTGAGAGGTTTCAATTCTCGTAACCTTCGCTCAGCAAGGGTATATGCCGTCCAAGCCGTCGTCAGATTCTGTTCCTGATGCTTCGCCAACGCCCTCCCACGGAGTTGGTTCATTTTTTCGATCCCTCCCGAGAGTAAGCCCACATGGGCCTCATCGAGTACGGCCACACCTTGCGTCGTGCCCAATTGTTCCAACCTCGCCCGCACCACCCGCAGGACTTGGGCGTCATTACTCGCGTCGACCACCACTGGGACACCGCCAGGCTTGAAAATCCCCGCCTTCTCCCAGGTGATTTTTTCGATCGTGTCCCCCAGAAGGTCCGTATGGTCCAGGCCGACCTTGGCCAGGACACTGATCAGCACGTCCTGGTTCCTCAGGACGTTGGTGGCGTCGAGTCGCCCGCCGAGCCCGCACTCGACGACAGCCACGTCGACGGCGCCGCGCGTAAACAGTTCAAACGCCGTGGCCGTGAGGATCTCAAAGTCGGACGCTCCGATCTGGTCTGTGTGACTCCTCGCGCGCACCTCCCTTTCCACGTTCAAAAACAAATCGCGGTCCACCACTCGCTGGTCCAGGGTGATGCAGTCCCACCGGTCGATGAGGTGAGGGGAGGTGAACCGGCCCACCGAGTACCCCGACCGAGAGAGGAACGTGGACAACAAAGCGGCAACGCTGCCTTTGCCGTTGGTGCCGGCGACGTGGATCGCTTTCCAAGGGAGTGACGCCGGGTGAGCCGCGAAGAGCGGTTGCACGAGGGCTGTGATGCGTTGTAGGCCTAGATTTATCATCGTGAAGAGCACCAATAATTCAGTATCGACAAGATTCGAAATGTTGGTAATTTGAGGATTGATGCGTTGGTTGGAGGGAGGTAGTTTTATTTGAATATATTCAAGATGGATGATAAGGGCCAGTTGTAGCCTCGCCGTGTCACAGCCATTTTTTAATACGGGATATCGAATAGGTGTATCATTTTGTCGCAGTCTCCCGTCGAGGGTTCCTCATATGTCCAGATCTACGTATGATCAAGAGAAAAATTTCTCAGATGTTGGTGGACGATGATCAAGAAGCTAATAATTAAACAGTTTTTGCTTACTCCGTATCTTCAAAATCTCTTGCCAAGCAAAAACACGCTCGCGAGGCTGAGAAATCGAGATACAGCACGAGTAAAAAGTATATGCGATCACATCACCAACACCATGCTACATGTTTGTTGGGCAGACCTCAATTTTCATGTTGAATCATGTTCAAAAACCACTAATAACAGTGTAATAGTGTCGCATATGTTCAATATATACTTAGTAACATTGTCTATGTACCAGTTCGCTATCAATAACAAAACTCCTCGCTAAAATTCATTCAACAAACACAATGTTCGTCTGCAATAGACTTGGTATGCGTATGTATGTGTATATACTGATGGGTCACCCACCTCATCAATCAAGGTGTAAATGCCGGCGTAGAGACAAATATCGCTCGTACCCAAAGAGCTTCAGTTCGATCCTCATATGACTTAACCAGGCCTTGAGCAAAGGCAAGAAGTTTCGAGGATTCAAAAATCCGCCGCGTTGTCGGATCTTCTCCTTCTCTTCTTCCCACACAGTGAGACTCGCGAACTTTGCAAGGATCATCATGGGTCGCATAGGTTGTTTCGATCCAAGTGACTCGTCCAAGCTTCGTGTCAGATCATTTGTCTTGAGGATCAAGAGTATGATTCGAGGAACATCTCCAAGCAACTGAACAAGCTGCTGGAGAAGATCCTCACCAAAAACTTCGTTGATACTCTCCTTCTCTTGCTCATCCCGCATTGACGTCGCCACTTTCTTGTTCGTCAGCACGCGATAATCCCGACCCGTGATGGCAGAAGCAAACAGCGGGAATTGCTCGTCGGTGATGCCAGCAACTTCGTAGGCATACTTTCGCATCTGGTCCTCGTTGGCATCAATCACAGCCAGCCATAATCTCGCATAGTCCCTGCGTAACTTATTGTCGGGCATCCGATATAGTCCGTGATCATACAGGATTATGTCGAAGTTGTAGGGATATCGTCGATTGGGATTATGTCGAACGGCAATATTGCCCCCATGGGGATCGCAATGTAGAGGTGCGTCCCTCTTGAAGATCATGACGTTAAATACCCTCGCTAGTGTCGCTGATACTTCGTCCCTGGAGATGTGGTGTTGATCGAAATACGCGGTATTATCAACTCTCGCGCCTGTCACAAAGTCCATGACCAAGATCCTTTTGCTTGCTGATATGACCTTCGGTATTATCAGAGGGAACTTGGCATGTTGCGAAAAGTACTCTCTTGCTCTAGTGGCATTAGCACCCTCAAGAGTGAAATCGAGTTCCTGAGGAAGTGAGAAGTCCATTTCTTGACTCAGCCACTCCATATCGTATTCCGGGAAGGCCCTTTTCAATGTCCGGAACGAAAATCTGGTCAAGGCCAGATCTAAAGGAACCCACTCCTCCAAGCTGGGATGCTGTACTTTTACTGCCACCTGTTGATCACTGTCTTTGAGCCTTGCAATGTGCACTTGAGCCAAGGAAGCGGCCCCAATAGGTTCCTTGGAAAATTCTGCAAAATCGTCCTCTATCCGATGTCCTGTGTCGCGAATGAACATGTCTTCGATCGACTCATAGGAGGAAACAGGACACTTGTCCTGCAAAGGGATGAAGGTTTCGGTCCATTCGGTGGGCAAGAGGTATCCCATCGACGACAGGTGCTGGCCGAGCTTGATGAATATTGATCCATTCTTCTCGAGCACTTTCAAAGTCCGTTCGGCGCATCGCTTGTGGCAAGCTTTGAGGAGGCGACTTTCTTCTTCCGCATCACCGAGATCTTGTTTCAATGTCGTTCGGTAACTAGCTGCGTGAGTGTCTATGCCGACATAATCTCCCTTGATCGCGATTCCTTACTCGTTAATGTTTACAGCCAGGGCAGATATCACCCTTCCTGTTCTTGCGGCAGCATTCCACCCATGCTTGATATCATCGGTGAAAAAGAGTAGGCTTCCACCTAAAGCACCGCCAGCCGCAGCCCAGTAGATAGCTTTCGTCGGTCGGACTACTCGAACAGGTCTCCTATAGGAACTAAATTCCCGGCGTAGAGAGGACTTGCACCCAGTACAGGTCCAATGAGTGCGGGATGCGGCGAACACGCCGCGGTCGAGTCGCATGGGGAGTTATTGGTGGTGAGACATGTGGATGGAAGGTCAGGTTGTAGCGAACACGGTGGGAGTGAAAGCAGGAGCGGAAGGAGTGGTGTACACAAGCTCGTCCAAGACTATCTCAAAGTAATCGAATGATTGATGAACTGATATGGAGTATCCGTTCGACTAATGGACCATCAACCAACGTATCCTCTTCTCTTCCTCGACCGCAGTTTCTTGGTGGGACAAAATTTCTCCATTGGCGCGTGAATACTTGAATGACGTCGACACAAATCACGAGTAAATACAGCGAGATTTACCGAGTAATATACGGAGTACTATAGTCAATACGAACCACTACGAGCAATAAATTCAACGCGTTCTGTTATAAACAAGGGTATCATAAGCTTCCTTTTGAAGCATTTGCGTCTCAACATACTCTCCATGCCAGCATCTCTCGACAAGATAACGGCAGAAAAGGCCCTCTGATGGAGGTAGGTCTTGCGAAGTCGGCCACTGCATTTCATGTTCTTCAGAGAAAAAGTAGTGTTCATGTACATGCCAAACAGCGATCGAGTAGATGACCCAGCCAAGGTGGAAAATCTCGATACTTGTAGTCAAATCATTGTCGCAAACAGTCTCCATGTCTGTCAAGATGGGCAGCATCGCGGACTGACCGAAATCTGCAAGTTTGAGTTGTCCATCGACGACCAGGAAGTTTCGTAGGGCAATTTCGTCCACCAAAACTCTCCGGGAACGAACGTAAGATAATGTATCAATAATGGATAATATCCATTCGATCTTAATATCCATTCGATCTTGAGTGATTCTGGTGGCTCGGTGTTAGTATTGATGTAGTTCTTCAGGTTGCCTTGTTTAGCGAAGGCTAGCTCGATCCCATAATTTGAAGTCTGAAAGCAGGATATAATTCCCTCATGGCGACCGAGACGCTGGTAGTTCTTTATTTCTCTCTCATGTGTTTCGCGATTGATCTCATTCCCGATACGGAGTACAGGAAACAATGTCGCGATGCTGAAAGGAACAGACTCGCAAAGCAGACAATGCCCTATCAATTGACGACTTCCTAAGGGTCGCAACCATGATAGACTCCAATCACTATTACTAGCAATCAACTTTCTACCTAGATATCATCATCAAAGGAATGGTAGGTGTATATCTGGCCCCATGAAAATCGTCCTCACTTCATCAGCTCCGGCACCATCTTCCCATCCTCAAACCTGATCCTTTGAGCCGTCGCAGGTCTTCTCATATGCAGATAGTCCATGAGAAAAGTCTTTGTCGGTCCCCAAACCTTGACGCGTTCTTTATCCTCGAATCCCAACTGTCGATACAGCCCTTCTCCCTTGGAACTCGCCTCTATCCAACAAGGCAACATCAGGGCGTCGGCCACCGCGATGCCCCAGTTCATCAAGGCCCGACCGTATCCCCTTCGCTGATACTCTGCGTCGACGAACATCAAGAAACAGAGTGCGTGCCCTTCCTTGCACTCGCGACGTCTCCTGACGAGGAAGTCTTCCATCAACACCGCCGCGTCGGCCCGTTCTTGTTCGGTGTCCAGGTAGGAGAACGCGGCCATGCCTTCCGCGTCGGCCTTTTTGGTCTCCTGCTGCTCTTCCTGTGGAGTGACATAGGTGGGATAGATCTTCCAGTCGTTCGTGGCGATGATTCTCCTCCGTCTCTCGGTGCCGACGACGTTGCCTTCATCATCAAGCACCTCGACGTCGACCTCTTGATCTTCGTCCTCCATCTTGAGAAACACATCCGCGGGGTCGTCCTGGAGTCCAGCCAGAAGGAGTTTCTTGGTGTAAGCTTTGGAAGCTTGAGATCCGCGACCGAAGAAGACCTTTGTGAGATCTTCTGTTTTGAAGGTCCCGAACAACAAAGGTACAATGGCATCGACATCTTTTGGTTCGACGCGAGAAATAACCGCACGCATTGTTTTTTTCTTTTTCTTTTTTGATAACCTCGGAACTCCGTAACTGTGGTGGCTGCTATCTGTTCACTTGCCTGGCTTGTCCGCAGTGAGCAACGGGAATATCGAGGGTCGCATCAGCAGCTTCTGGATGGTCGGCTCTTCCTTCTGTATACTTGCGCACAAGGAGTATATATACGTCTGTATTTGCTACAGAATACCGGTCTTACTGCGTGCGCGGTGTAATGCATGCTCGCTACCTAGAATTCCTATTTTACTTAACAAATCGGCTAATTTCGACCCTTGTTGTCCTCGAATATCGCTGACGGAACCGGGTTTTTTCCATGCATAGCAGCTGGCTATAGCTGACGCACGCCGCTGACACATATACCAAAGAACAGCTTCAGGCAAGCGATTGAACGAATTTACACGACAACTGGGCGGCCTTGCCTTGTTATGGCTTGTTTTTACGGGGTTGATGGTTGGAGTTGCGCGTAAGAAGCCGAATCCTCTTCGATCACTTTGCAACTACAGTAATTCATCATTGACGACCGAAGGTCCGATCGAATCCACTGCCGAGGCGACTCGGTAGCTTTTTCGTCAAAAAGTACCAAACCAAAGCAAACGTCAAGGAGTAAATACTTAAGATGCTGAGCTACGAGACCAGGGAAGGTCTCTGTATTCGGTATAAATCTTGATGGTTACGAATATGGTATCGTAGTGAAAGATTTCATCATAGTTCTTACTCCCTCTTACCCCGTGAAATGCTTGACCTCGCTAAGCAGTTTCTCTTGATACCTTGTCAAAAGTGCGTGATGATAACGCGAAGTGGTCTACCGAGTACGAAGTACTCCGTACTGTAAGGTGTACTACGTATTTAGGCCTCCTATATCCCATACCCCCTTGAGTTCCGATTGACGTACAGAATACGTAGTACTCCGTACGGAGTACGTGCGCGGCTTATACCCCCCGTACTCCCGTACTAGTCACGGAGAACATCACGACCCCTCCACTACGTGTCAAAGTACTGTAGGGCTCGTGCAGTACATCCGCGTGAAGAGTATTCTCACACACACGCATCACGATATCTACTTATGAGCAGCTACCGAATACGCACGGACGTAACGCGTATGACGCGGTGGAGGTGTTCTCTGTAAGGAGTAAAGTACATGTAACATTCCATACCTACCTAGAGGAATCTCATCTGGAAAACTACATGACTGAATGCTTCCGTAAGTAAGGTCACATTTCAAGTGACGCAAGAACCCTCACATGCTACCATATTGATGTGTTTCGTAGAAAGGGAGGTGAAAACTGGACATATCGTTAAGACTGCACCCCGTGGAAAAGGGGTTAAAATGATGATGGTGTTTTGGAATCTTTCCACTTCATTTTCCATATACCCCAAAAATTCTGAATCATGGATGGATGGATGGATGCAATGGCGCTTGATTCATAATTCCATATTTCCTATATCCTATATCCTATATCCCATCTCCTTTCCTATTTGTTCATAAATGTTCGTTAAAAAATCCACAAACTTGACCCCTTCACGACCGAGATTTCCTTGGGCTTAAAATTTTCTAGTATATATCCAGCAACACCTGGTTGGTTGATATATGACAAAAAATCAAGTAACAAAATCCGGCCCAAGAAACGGGGTTTGGAGGATTTGTTTATCTTTGTTCAAGGCTTCCCAGAAACCCTTGCCCCCCCAAAAATCATGTACTGTACTTCTCCATGATCGACTTTTCAAAAGTCATGTCATGCATTTCTTCTCCCTGTCTCCTTCAGAAATAATCACCAAATCCCAAGTCACTGACTCAGATATCTAGGGATAAGAAAGGCATCTAACTGAACCACCATTCAATGCCATGGACACGGCCATTACCTGTCCCATCGGTGATGGCATTGAACAAGGCATCGGTACAATCAATGGCACGGTCGACGCAACCCATACACTTGTCGCCGACCTTGGCCTGAACCGTGGTGCCCGAGGTGGGGTTGTACAGAGTCACCGAACGTCCACAGTAAGGGTTTCCATTCGACTGGGTACCCATGAATTGATAGGGAAGAGCGATTGAGAGATCACTGTTTGTGTTGACGTTCCAGCCGCATGCACCGAGACCTAAAAAATTCATTACACGTCAGCGCACGGCATCAAACCAACACAGGGGATGCAGCACAAACTTACCTCCATCCCAATGAGTTACGTCACCGACGCAAGCAGCGCCGGTACCCTCGCAGGTTGCCGATTGGGAGGCGCTGATGTCTTTAGGGCTGCCACCACCATTCGAGGATGAGGCTGACGGGGCGGGTGCAGATGCGGCAGAAGCAGCAGCGGGCGAGGACTCAGCAGCGGGAGCCGGAGAAGCCGGAGCTGGTGCGACTGGGGCCGGGGCCGGTGCAGACGACCACGCAGCTGCGGCAGGAGAGGACGCTGGAGGGGCAGCTGGAGCAGCAGCAGCACCGGCGACAGTTGCCATGGTCGTCGAAGGGCCGTAGATAGTTTGGGCGGCAAAGACAGCGGGACCAGAGGTGGCCGAGCTGTTTGCAACAGCGACAGTGGTTGTATCGGCAGCAGCAACAGGCGCCGGGGCCGGAGTTGGTGCGCCGGGTTCAAGCCAGATAGTGGTGGTTTCTTCAACAGTCACCCAAACGATTTCGGTGTCGGTATGGGTGTACATGGCTCGCGCATCTAGACGGGGAGCAGCCATGGTGAAAGGAGCGAGCAGCAACGCTGCGAGGGTGATGTTCTTGAGTACGGCCATAATGGAAGATAGTTGGTCGGCGTTCCTTGAGGGAAATGTTGTATCGTTTTGGACGAGGTTCGAAAATGACTGGAGATCTGGCTCTACAGTTTGTCTTTGGATCTTGTGGACGAATCACGAAGAGAATGTCGAGCAGCGTCGAGCTTAGGTAGAGCTTTTTTGTCGCGATGACAAGTCTAGCAGAGAATGTGTTGGTGGTAAAAGGATTGACAAGAGGGCGTCAAGTCCTCAAGTAATGCGAGTGCTGGAAGAGGTAGTGACCGTGGGATGAAAGAACGAGAGAGAGAGAGTGGAATCTCTACTGCCGACGGGCGGGACAAAGGATAAGTAGATAAAGAGAAAAGAGAGTGAGAGGCGTAGTGCCAGTTGAAAGAATGAAGAAAAGGGAAAGAGAATTTTTGGTAGCACTGTGGGATCAGAAAAAGAAGACAAAGAAAATAGTTGATGGAGTCCAGCCCTTGCTTGATACTCGTCACCTCATGCGATCCAGGAGTAGGAGAGGAGAACCATGCGCCTGTGAGGACAATGGTAGGCCGTCAAGATCCTCCATTGGTCTAATCCCTACCCCTTAGCTCGCACATCCAGTAACCACTGTATTGGACGGAGTCGTTGCACAGAGCTTCTTGGGCGGGATTCCCCATTGTGTCCCCTCTCCTTGCATGTTGAGAAGCTGTCTGGGAGTCTGTCAAACTGGACCTGCTCTGTGCGCAGTTTGCGATGCCAGAACGGTAGGCGCACACACATGCCCAACCGTTTCCGGCCCAGGGGCAATGTGGACTCTCGGCAGTGGGAGATTCGGCAGAAACACAGGATCAGTGGCTGCTCCAGTCGCCGGGGTCAGGCACAGACAAGACTCCATTGCAATGCAGCTGGATGGAGCATGCAGCTGCAACGTACAAGTACGTACTCCGTGCAGTAGGTAGGTCCGGACAGGGATTGGGTACTGTACGAATGGCTTCGGGGGCGGCTTCGTGGCGCCCGCCGAAACGGAAACCTCCCAAGTGGTCCATCACCACAGGTACTGTACTGCAGTAGGTCACCGGCCTAAGCCATTGGGGGCGACTGGAGGCGAATGTAGGCAGTTGAATTCCCTAAGCTTCTTGTCGCCCTAAGGCGATTTGTTCGGCCAGAAAACGTGGGCGGATTCAGGTACCAGGTACGAGCGACTTCTAGGCCTCAAGGGGATAAGCGGTGATCAGATCTTCCCCCTGTGCCTGACTTTCGCTGACGGGCCTGCACGGTGGTCAACGCTCGTTTGCTCCGCCTCTATGAGGGACAGTCCGGCTTTCCAACGCGCCCACAATCGACGTCTTCGTATCCGTACGAGTAAAGAGGTTGCAGCAACGTCTTTCAGTGCAGCTTTGTTCGCTATACGGACTTTGACATTGCCCACTCAGCTCGATCATACGGGAGTGCAACCGACTCAGTACGGCGCCGAGCTTTTATGTATCTTCTTCCGCGTACGACCGCAGTATGTATGTATGTGCTGTTCCCTTTTCCGATTCAGACTGTCAGGCTTGTGTCCATTCACAATGCGCCTCGCTCATGCAGGAACCACCTCTTCTGCAGGTTGCAGATGCATCAGACGGCGGCAAATCCTCGCAAAAATGATGAATCTTGCATGAGGTGCGCCATGGTAGTTTTCATCACCGATACTTTACTCGTCCCGCGAGAAAAAATTTTCGTGCTCGAGGTGCCCAATTGTACGCTTTTCCAAAGCTCTTTTTCGACCTTCGCAGCGACCACCGGGCCTCGAATTGATGGTCGATGCTCTAACATGGGAGTATCTGCTCTGTCAGTGAAGTCAAACAGAGTCTCCGTCTCCGTTGCATATCAAGAAGCCTGTGCACCGTGTCCAGCCCGCGTTTCCTTGATGGTGCGTGCGATAGACACCACGCGACAAGGCCAGTGCCATTATCCATACCACCGGCTATTCGGCCTCATCCGGAGTCTAGATTATGCAAGCTCTTGAACTCCATCCTTCATGCATGCCAGTTCCATAGACTCAAGCTGGCTGTTCTGCAGCCTACGCAGACCCAACAAAATGAATCAATCCCAACCAACTACTGTTCTATGACGAGAGCTTTAGTAGCTGCAATCATCTCATGATTACTGCAGAACGCGGGTACGCCTAGGAGGAAAGCACAATGCGACAACCTGAGCCGCATATCCGACAATATAGGTGGACGCAGACAGCACTGCATCCAAGTAAATATACTAGAACCATGTCTGTGTTCCGTAAGGTCCGAAATAGTAGTCCTCTGTACACGAATATATACACATCGCTTGAACGCAACAAATTGAATAAACTCAACCCCGAATGTAGCATGTCGAGACATGCGCTCAAAGTTCTCTCATTATAGCATGATAATCGTCCAAGCTGTTACGGTTCTTACCCTTCCCGGAAGCTTCGCCTTCACACGCGACGCTTGGATCATGAGCGTTGACAGTGGCAGCCTCCTGGTGTGGCCTCCTGTCGGTATCAGAACTGACACCAGAATCGTCGTCACCTGGCCAAAGCGTCAGCTCTCCCACGTATCCCTTTGTCGGTCTTGATTGAGGTGGCTGGGTGTGCTTCATCTGATTCTTTTCATCCCCAAAGTCCAATGTGAAAATCGGAGATGCTGGGCTCTGGCGACTTTCACCACTGCATTTCCTTTCGACGTGATCGATTTCAGGTCGCCCTTCATAGTTCGTGCTAGAAGACATGCCTCCATCCGTCTTATGGTGCCTTGTCGTGGTTTGACCAAGGCCAGAATTTTTAAAGGTGTCGTCCGAATCCGAAGTCGTCTGACTGAAGCTTCTGAAGATATGCCTGCGTGACTTGGACTTGTACTCGGGATCCACCTGTACTCTGGCCGCACGTACTAGGTTCAAATAAATTGGGAAGATCATTCCGGACACCGCGGCCGCCAAAGGAACGCTATACGCGTATTTGGTACCGCGTACGTTGAACACCGCCCACATGATGGGAGGAAAGACAGCACCTCCAGATATCGCAGCCGTCATAAAGGCGGAACCGGTTTTGGTGTGACCGCCCAGGCCACGCATGGAAGTTGCAAAGATGTTGCTGAAAATTCCTGCCTCGAAGAAAAATGAAAGCATTGCAACGGCCGCCGCTGCATCGGCGACGAGGTGCATTTGTAGCCCTAAGCAAACAATGAGTCCGACGAAAAGTCCTAGGAGAACCAAACGCGGTTTGATAAAGTAGTCGAGGAATGCGGTCAAGAATCGGCCAGCCATGAATACAGTGTGGCCTACTGTTTCGAAATCGAACGGGTGGAGATTGGTGTGCGGCTTCACGACCTGGATCAAGGATTCGATTGAACCACCAATGCACTCTTGTTGCCCAACATAGCACCATTGACTGAACACTCCAAACCCAAGGGTGACATACACAACCTTCCAAGGTCCCACAGAAGCCCGGTAAGCCGCGCTTCGTCGATCTGCCAATTCATCTAGCTGTTCATCGGTTGCCTCGGGGAGGGGGATGTAAAAGAAAACCACCGCAAGTGCGAAGTCGAATAGGGCAATGCCCAAATATGTCCACTGCACGTTCACAAGGGAGGGGGCATTCAGGACATTGTTGAATAACACCTTGGTTGCCAATAGAGGTGAGCATACAGTACCGATGGCTTGAAATGCTTGCGATATATTCAGCCGAATTTCAGCGTATTCTAGAGGGCCACAAAGCGAGGTATATGGATTGGCGGCTATCTCCAGGCAAGAGAGACCAACTCCCACAATGAAGTTCGAGACAACAAAGGCAGGATACGAGGTCAGCACTGCCGATGGCCAGAAAACCAGAGTGCCGCAACCATAGACGCATAGACCTGAAATCATGGAGGCTTTGAAGCCATATCTCTTGAGAATGAAGCGGCCCAATGTAAGGGGTCCTACCAGGTAACCGGCATAATAAGCCGAATGAAGCCCAACTCCTTGTCCAGTAGAGAGCTTCGCCACTTCCTGGAACCTGGAGTTGAGGCTGCTCAAAAACCCATATGCCAAGCCCCACAAGAAGAAGACGAGGGTGATGACAGCAACAGGCCAGATGCTCTCTTTTGTCGACAACCTCAACATGTTTCGGTTCTTGTAGGTCTTGACAAACCCGAAATCGGAAGTGGTTGTCTTTGCGGTGCTCCTCCGAGACAACCTCGTAGATACCCTGGAAACTGTAGTGGTGTCTTCATCTGGAGACTGTGAAAGCATGTTGAGAAAGCCCATTTGATCTCCATCTTCGTCTCCACGGTATTCTTTGGTTTGAGGCTGCCTGAATGCGGCTGGGTTATTGAGAATCGAGATATCACCAATGGGCATACCGGGATTGACGACGCTGGGCTTGTCGTTACCGATCTGGGTATCCCCGACGTCCCTGACCATGCGTGGAAGGAAACGAAGAAAGAGTGGTTTCAGGCTCGGCACGCATGCACAAATAATCCCCGTGCAGACCTCGACTGCCGACCACATGAAACTCAAACTGGCGTACCAGGAGAAATCGTTCTCTTCGACAATACGGCCACTAGAGCCTCCGTCGGTCTTGACCAGTTTTAACCGGTTTAGCGCTGCATTTTGGAGATATGCGATGCGGACCACGTCCACCGCCGCCACAAAAGCTCCAGCACTAAATGTCAGCAGCAGGATGATTTTTTGCTTTCGAGGCAGTCGCATGCCGGTGAGGATCGGCATGGGAAGGACCAGTAGGGCAATGTCTGTGATAATATTGACAGGAGCTGATGAGAGATACAAGGTGACTATGTCGGCGCATTTTGCATCGGTTGACCGAGGATATGCCCATGCCTGAACGATTGGGCGACACTGAAAAATGTTGTACAAGGTCAGTGCCGTGCCGACGGCATTAACAAGTACAAGGGTTAACCAGTTGCACCACTTGAATACAGGGTCAACGTCCTTGGACATGACGGAGAGGAAGAATACGACGATGGACGTCTTGGTGAGCATGAGGGCTGGATTGTATAGGATTGAGAAAGCATATTCGGCCTTGCGCAGTGAGCTGAAATCCTCGTCAGAAATGTCGTTCTTGTGCTTGCCCAAGCCATATTTGACCGCAGTGCATATTGAGGCCGAGAAGCCAACAGCAAGCACCCATGCTGCCAAAATCCACCAGTCGTCCTGTTTCACGGATTTAACCAGCCATATTCTTGTATAGAAGCGACCAACAACGAACAAGGTGGCCAAGACTGTTATAACGATGGTAACGGCTGAGGTTGTTGGTCCGCGGTCAGGTACCATTATCGACTAGAGATTTCTTGTACAATCATTGCCTATCTGACGTGCTTCATGTTGCATCGATACTTTTGGTGATGTCGCAAAGATCAAGCATGTCGTAATAGCAATATCGGCCGCTCCCAATATCCTGTCTTTCAGCACGAACATGAGAGGGGAAGAGGGTAGTCGTGGAAGTGCAAGAATCTCGCTGTACAAAAGGAAGAGATGAGAGAAACGAGGAGTGTGGAAAGAATCAACCGCCCTTTTGCGTTTTATGCTAGCCCCAATCAATACCGCCACGCTTCAAAGTTGTGGAAAAGAGAGTTTGCGATGGCCACTTGTATTAACCATCGTTCTGAACCCTTTTACGGGGAAGGGACACGAAGTGCGCATTTTCCTTGACGAGCGTATCTTCTTCGAGCATTCTCATTCGATGGGGCGGGATCTTTGATGACATTCCCATCGTTTTCTGGGGGAGAGGAGCATCCTGCGAATGATCTGATTGACGGGCGGAGAAAGTATATGATCAGCTGAAGCTGGTTCGAGGGGAGTCTGAAGGCTGGTCAAGGGTGGCCGAGTGTCGCCCGTTGGTGGGAGGAGAAAAGCCACCACCGCATTCTCAACCCCAGATTCGCTTGATCTGAGTCGCTACAACAATGCAACTCCACATCTCGGAGAAACTGTCCCTGTCCAGATGCAAGGATTGAACTCGACGAGATGTGCTACATTGCCGTCGATTCGTATTTACTTGAAGATTTTACCAAATTTTATAGATAGAGTACAGTTTGCAGGTGTAGACTTGCCCTGGTGCATAGGCATTGCTCACACGCCAATCTCACAGATGGCACCAAGCAGGATGAGCCTAGATGGACACCGTTCGGTACTCAAATCCATCGACTTTACACCCAGTGCCCTTCTCAGACATCTCTTCTTCGAGGCACAGTCGCTGGGCCGATGGAGATAGGAGACATCTCTCCGGTAATACGTCCTGAGGTGTGACGTTGCAGGTAACCCTGGGTTCGTGAGATAATTGACTCCGCTTGTGCGTAACTGCAAGTTTTAGTCGCAACAATTGCTGTGTGCGCAGTGTCGACCCGCAGCCACCTCAGCTCAGAGTCCTCAGTATTGTCCACGATGGATCCTGCTACGTCGCGAAACACAAGGAATAGCCGGCACGTCCATTCGTGAGAGACGACACTTAGACCAGCCTGTGTGCGACGGTATTGGGGACCTGGAGGATTTCATGAGCCTCAGTCTCGCGTGTTGATTTCCTTAAAATCTCATCTACCGTCCGTCGTTCGGATGACTATTCTGCAAGGCCATCCTTGGACTTTTTCAGTGCTCCAGGAGCTCGGTAGCCTTCGAGGATGCTTTCGTTGTTGGTCCGAGGGGCGCCCACCTCCTCTTTTTGCTCCGTACCAAGTGGTTGAGCTTTTCCATCTCCCATGAATTTGGACTCTTGTTTGTCTGCACTTCTAGCATCTTTCAGAAGCTGTAGGCCAGAGGTGCCTTCGACCTGGTCTATCACACCGTGCCTGCGCAAGCTCTCACGGCGCAAGTCGAGTTGCCCGCCATCTGCTTCTCGGTGAAGCTTTGCGTTTCTTTTCGCGGCTCTGATGGAAGTAATTGAATAGGTGTAGAGCAAGCCAGCCATTACAACTGCTGCAATGGGAGCCGTTATTGTCTATATGTGTGAGGTATCATGTGAGTTCGAGAATTGAGACACGAGGCACGGGTGTACGGGGTACTTACTCGGGCATTCCAAGCGGAACCTCTGGGCTTCAATTTGGGTGCCATGCCGAACTGTCAATTCAGTAGCAGGGGTACCAGATTGACGTGTCGGTCAACATGGACTCAGACTGTGCTGTTGTTGTTGACGCGAACAAAACGGAAGCGTCGATGCTGCGCAGTCCATTCATTGCCTTCTCCGCACAGTGAGTTGAGTGGCCTGAAGAATTGGCGCTACTATGTCAGCAACCAATTGCGGCCTTTTACGAATACGATTACTTGGACTCGTACTCCGTATCATGGTCGGCCAAGCTGTGCTAGATAAGATTATTTGCATTGTCGGGTGCCTATCGTTGTTTATCTCAGCACAAGTCGTGACGATATTGTTATGCCTGATAACGTGTCCGGGATTCTGTAGATCAAAGAGACCACCCCCAATAGGAGTGACTTGATCGATCGAAGAGTCACTGGTAAAGATAGCCGACGGAGTCACAGCTCAGTGTCGAGATTGTACTCTACATATTGCCATGAGAATTACTGTACGAGTGTTCAATGAGGGTATATACCATTTCTCACGATACCTAAGCCTGGCCCAGAGTTCTTGTCATGGCGGTTGAAATAGGATCTATCCGACCGCCAAGGTATCGATCGCAGCAAAGGCAGAGAGAGTGAAGTACCTCGCAACTCGCAATAAGGGATGTAGCGGAGCAGTTTGGCCCGTTCCTTGATAGTCTTGTTCGGCCTGTGACGTTGATGGCTGTGCTGACCTCATCGCCGCGCATTCCCTTCCACCATCTTCTGCCGCTTTTTTTGTGCCTCATATCAAATCATCAGCTTCCGTTGCCCCTTCAAGTGGACCGACTAGCAGTAATCAAGGCATACCCAGCATCTGTCAATGAACTCCCTAGCCAGTGGAGCTTCTTCGGTTCGATAACATCATGCACTTGATGCTGCTATTCCACCAAACAGGCTCCTTCATTTATGCACCGTCGTGTGATCGCGCCGTCGAAAACCACTGAATCTCAAGTCCAAACGGCAATTGAACCATAAGTGTCTAGATCCAGCAGTCTCTTTGCTCGCGCTCACATTTGCCGTTTTCTGCTTCTCGGAATAAGTCCTGGGGTCTTTTATCGCTCACCATCAAGTTAGGTCTCATCTCTCCGGTTCTTCCTTTATCAGCACCAGAAAACATACCGGTCGTAATTGAGACTGTGGCAATCCTACAACAAGATCAAAAACCTCGTGGCATCTCTGAACATATCTTTCTTCGTACCATCATCATCTTCACATCTAATTATACTCCCTGCTCCAAGCGAGGACTCCAGATTCCCACGTTTTGCCACAAGCGATCCCCGAATTCCTCAATCTCCCACCTTCGGGCGCCCGATTTTCACTGCCTAGCACGAGACCATCAGCAATACGTATACGCACGCGCTTAGGGGATCAAGGCAGCAAAGATTCTAGAACGATCCGATATCGACTCCGCATATATCATCTGGCTTGTATCCTTCTTCCCTGCGCATCCGGCTGCTCTCGACTGTTTCCCTGAACAGTAATCGAGCCCCGCCTTTTCTATACCAATTTGCCCCCCCAAGGAACAAAACGCATCCATACACCTCACATTACATAGAACTCGACAGGCAAAACTTTCAACCACAATGACGTCGCTGATATTCGGCACCATTTACATGGGCCACAAGGGCCTGGTCCACCACAAACGTGAAAAACAAAGACAGAAAAACTACGAGCGCTGGGAAGGCCTGCGGGACGAGTACGATGAGCAGAGGAAGATCAACAGAGAATCAAGATCATTAGACATCCAACGCACCGGGGCAGGTTATCCCTTGGACGAGGATCGACCTATCCTCACTCTGCGAGACCAGCAAGAAGCCGGCGATGCCCGCACCGGTTGGCGTCCCCAGGAAGCCTTTGACGGCGTCCCCAGTGTCCCTACTGGGACGGACAGCATCAACAACAACAACAACCGCCGTTCCAGCGTCGAAGTCACGTCCGGCTCCAACCTGAGGCCATTGACCGGCACCAAGACAGGGACCACGTGGGACGAAGGCCTACCGCAGCCGTTGAGGGTGTCCCGACGAAACTGGGACGACTACCAACCTCCGGTCAGCGGGAATGTCAGCCGAAGCAGCAGTCTGCGCAACACGACCCCCCACGAGCAGCGAAGCTTGAGCAACACCCCGTCCTTGAACCAACTACAACCACAACAGGGATCACCTACTACGCCCAGCTCTCCCGCGACAAACGCGAATATCTACCATCCTCACGCCTCTCGAATCGTAAGCACGCCCGCAGACATTCCACACTATCAGAGCATCGACCCGATCGATTACAGCACCCCAGGAGGCCCCATGGCCGAATTGATCGCCCCTCTTCCGAACAATAATAATAATAGACCGTCACCGACGTCATACACGAACCATCAACAGCCACAGACCTTTGCAGGTTACCAAGCCAATCCATTCATGAGTCCGCCTCCCGCGCCTGCCCCTGCTCCAGCCCCGGTCCCGGCTCCCCTCAAGGTCCAACCTACGTCTGCAGAATTCTGGGACAGACCATGAGTTGAGAGGAAAAGACACATATTCATGAATTGATGATCCACACATTGACCCACGACAGACAATGGCTAGACACATTTAGCCACATATTTATGATGGCTGTCTTAACCATCCTATGTGTGTATGATTTGCGTACTCCTCGGAAGACAGTCTCATTTTGAGTTTTTTTGGAGAAAGTTTATCTGTACAGCGACGGTGTTGCAAAGGCGTTGTTTTCATTGACTCTAGTCACTCATAAAGGAAGGATGACTCGTGGTGGTGACGACGATCTATTGAACCAATGAGGGGGCACAACAGTAGATATATAGGCAAGCAAATTCTATAGCAGAAACAGTTCGAAAGCGAGTGTTTTAGCCACCGTACAATCCAAAACGGAAGTAACGCTATTAATTGTTTCATTGGGTTGCTGTTGTCTCGAGACTCGATGGATGAACTCCGGAGGCAGAGAGCAGAGAGCAAGAGGACAGCGAGGATCGACACAAGAAATTTCAAAAGTCGTACAATACGTTGATATTAGTTGGTAGGTTGATACTCCGCGTGTATGATGACTACATGCCCAACCCTCGATGCTCTCTGCCTGGCCCAGAGAACCAGACTTGATACCGTAGACATACGCACACGGTCAAGCCCGTGTCGTCGTTACGTAGGTAGCAAAAGCAAGACCGGGCAAGGCATACAGACACACACACACGGAAGACACAAAAGGCTTGTGATTAAACAACGCCGTCTTGAAAGTTTTGTGGGGTTGCCCTTCTTCTTGAACATTCCAATAGACACCGGAACCCATCCCCCAAAAGCCGCCGTGAGAGCAAAAGCTTCCAGAAAAAAAGAGGTCGAGTGATATGGACAGTGACACCGACTCTCTTCCCCCCCAAAGACCTTCCCGCTCTCGGCCGGGTTTTCGTTTCGTTTGTTCGGGTCAATACCATAAATGTATGTCCTGTTCTATGCTGCATTGCCTGGTTTCTCTTGCGTGTCGATATGCTATTGGAAAAAATCGTCAGCATTGCTGAGGTGGCACCAGAAAGATAAACAAAACTTACCCAGACAACATAATTTGGAAGACCGTAAACCTTGTATCCGGCTCTCTTTGCCATTTTCGCAAACCCTTCTGTCTCGGCTTGATTTTCGAAAGCGTAGCATGGGAAGTTGATGCCTGAACACGAAGAGCAGTCAGCATTGATGCCACAATCTCAAAATATCTAGGTCGCCAATGCGACAATCCATGGACTCACCAGATCGGTGCACATCGGCTTTGACCAAAATATTTACACCACCGATACCGTCTAATTCGATCTCTTCGTCTTTGTTGTTTCTCCAATCTCCCATTCTGGCCATGTATGTACGGCCGGTGTCATATTCCTTGTATCCCTCGGCGAGAACTACGTTTTTGTCCAGGCTGTTCGAAAGTCGACGGCCCTTGTCGGACTCAACCCATGAATTGTAATCAAATCGGCCTTCGATATCGCGATTGTTTTCATAGCGGTGGAACCAGATATCTAAACAGACGTTTGTTAGTCATTCTGTTGCCTTCCCAGCTCCAGGAACAACCAGTTGAAACAAGGAAATAACGCACTCGGCACCAGAATATCCCTATCGTGAGCAACAAAGTCCTCGATGATCTTTTTCGGGCTGTCCACGATGTCTACATCCCGCCAGTACACCCAGGAGTGCTCGGGCTTGAGGGCTGCATAAAGCAGATAATTCCTCGCTCTTCCCATGGCTTTGCGTCTGGGCCCTTGTGCTGCAAAGCCATGCCTTGATTCCACATCCATACCACCGGTTTCTCCGAAATCCTTTTCGACAATTGTCACGCTGCGGAAGGGGATCTTGTCGGTACGTTGTTGTATTCTATTCACTTCAGATGAAAGCACGGCAAGCGTATCGTCCGTGGAATCGCCGACGAGAAACGCGAGGTCGATGAGGTCGTGCGGGTACGTCAGCTCGTAGATCAAGTCGAAGTACTTCATCAGGTAGGGCGCGGCGTCACGTAGAGGTGTGAGAAGAAGAACTCGTTCGCGATTGCTCACGGCTCGAGAGGTAGATTGGATGGGATTCAGATCAATCCGCTGGATGGTGCTGGAATTGACCTCGTAAGGCTCGTGATGGTTGAACAGCACAGGCGTTTGCAGGTGCTGGTTCCACGCAACCATTTCATTATTCGACATTTGTGTCGGAGGCTTCGAGGGGCCGAAGCAGTAAAAACTGTAGCAATCATTTCGTCAGCACGTCTTGGAATCTGTCAAGAGCAATCGAGGCAGGCCTACTTTGACATTTCTCGTGTTGATACAGTTATTCCCCTCCATAATAAGACAATTAGCCCCGTCAGAGCGACGGCGACCAGAAATCGTGTGCGTGTTAAGAACATTAATATTGCTTTCCATGGCGGTAATTTGGCTTTGGCGGACTTCCAGGTCACGCCGCCTTTGGGTAGAAGCATCGCTGACGGGATATGAACAAGGCGAAGGGGAATTGGAGTGCTGAAATAACCAAGGGCAAAGACAGAACCGCCTCGCTAGGAGGACGTCGTCAAAGTCGTGGCCAGATTGAGAAGTATAATAGGAGGAACGAACGGAATGGCCTGCGCAAGGCCAAAAGGAGGAGAGGATGAAGGACCGCGGATAGGAGAGAGGGCGCGTTTCGACCAATCTCAAGACGAAACTATGGTGAGAATGAAGCTGAAGGTCCGGATCAGCTCACTCAATGGTGATATAATCGAAGTTGGCGGTGGGTGTGTGGCTTGTCGTGGGTTTTTGGATTGTTGAGGATAAGGAAATGGTATCAACGAGACGCAGCGCATTTCGAGACCCCGATCAGATCATCCTTTTCCGCCGCCCAAAGGGGACTAGCTTCAATGGCCCTTGGCGTGCTTCTGATGTTCCTCCGTAACCCGTCCTCTGTGCTCTCTACCATGTGCCTCTAATAATGGAGCAGCTATGGGAATACCAAGAGAAACACACGCGTCGCCGCTGGTTTCACAACCTCTTGGAGGCATAAGATCCCAGGGACACGAACTATCAGTAATAAGTCATCAATCCCGAGGCCACCACCAAATTCAACTCAGAAGACGTTAAAAAGTGCATCACATCAAGGGATAATAGTCATTATATTACTGTAGATTCCAGAATCATAGGGAATATTGGGTATACGCTAGAAAAGCCATCACAGTCACCAAAAGTCCTCCAAGAAAAATATACGTGAATGTGCACTGCTCGGTGCCAAACACTTCTAATCAGAGATTTAGTCATCTCCAAATTCATTAATCAAAAACCACCATGACTTTACTTCGTTGACACTCATACACCTCTCAAGTCATGGGCGTTGGACGACTCATTTAGACGCCATTCCTAGTCATTTGACTGACCCTCCAGGAGTCTTCTTGACGCATCTAGTCTTCTTCTGAGAACTTTGGCGGCGTGTGTTTCATGCTGCTCTTCAGCTTTCAAGATTTGATTGCAGAGGCCTCCAACCGCTCGCAGGAGATCCAGAACAAGATCTTTGTCAACGTCTGTAAATGTCATCGACTTTTGCCCATTGGCTATGGTGAACTCGGGATCTGCAAGTTTAACGAGGCTCTCCATGAGAATTTCTGTGTTCGCAGGGTGGTCAATTAGTACGGCGCTCGGTGGTGGAGGCTGGCGTTCGACAGACGATGGCGACACAGTGGACACCATATTCGGTGATTGGGTAGGTGGTGTCGGGATCCCATTAGTGACCACTGTAGCCTGCTGACGAGCCTTCTGCGGCGACATGGTTCCTGGCCGCAAAGCTGGGCCAGTCACGGGAGGTGCCTGCCAAACTGGTGGAATCGTTTTAGCCCCCGAGCTCTTTGGGCGCTGGGATACATCAATGCCTTGTCCCCAGGTTAAGATCTCAGTTGGTAGACCATCCTCACTTTGAGTTTCTTCATGCCCATCACCTTCTGTCGCGGTAGCGAAAGTTGCCACAGTGGACACAGAATCCATGCTATTACTTCGAACGTTCTTCATCCAGGGCTTTAAGGGCGTCCGCATATGTGCCATAGGTGGCGCCTGCGATAGTTGTTGCGAGAACTTGTCCGCCACTGGGGTTGGGGTACCCGACCTTTCTCCATCAACTGATTCAGAGTCTGTCGGCTCTTCGTCATCATCTTCGGCGGTTGGCGTATTTTGCTCTGCTCGAGTTGTCATCAAGCTGCTAGTATCGCTTTCACTCGGAGTCTCACTTCGCGTTCCCGTTCCGGTGTAATTGCCTAGAGCGCTGTGGAGAAACATGTTCTCATAATCGAAGGCATCGTATCTGTCTTCGTGTCTTCCTGCTGCTTGTTCAGTTGCCAGAAGGTGTTCTGGCAGATCAGGAACATCTGGCTCCACCTCCTCCAGACTCTCCTGGAGGACTTCATTAAGATAGATTTGTTCTTCTTCTGAAGCAGCAACTGGTTCTTCCTCGTCCAAAGCTTGGGCTGCATCCTCATAGCAAGATTCTTGAACAACTGACCCAGCCTCATTGCCAGGAGGAGGCAGGACGTTGACGGACTTGTGTAAGCTCGGGGTATTTTTATCGGTTTTGGCGACACTATTGAGCTTGGATTCATTTGTGGCTGGTTGATCCACATGAAGGAACTTTTGCTCCTGAGGCGTCACGGGAGTGACTTGGATTTCGACTGGGCTTTTGTGCTGAGAGGGGCTCCAGCCCAGTCCTGCATTTGTATTGAGTGGACTGCCTGCTTCTCTATATTCTGGCGCACTGGTGTACCATTGTTCCGGCGACTTGGCATTTGTGAACGGACTGGGTGTGCGAACGCTCTGCATGCTTCTCCTTCTGAGGCTGTCGGCTTGCGCTTTCTCCCTCAGATCGGAGATCCTGCTTCGCAAATCCGACATTTGCTCCCGAATCTCTTTTGTGGAACGGCTCGACATCTGTGAAGGTGACCGAGCGATTGTGGTGCTTGGACTGCTAGGAAGGACAGAAACATCTTCTCTGGATATGGAGGCAAGAGTATTGATTCCAAGCCCTCGAGGTCCTGACGATTCAGGAGAAGTTTTGATCGTGCTGGGCGTGCCTTCGTCCTCCTCCTTGAGAGCCCTCAGAGGCGAGTCATGACTGTGATTGCTAGTAGGCGATGCTCCTTCGGCTCGAGGCCTGGGTGAGGACTCGAACTGTTGCGGCGATTCCTGTCGAAGACCATATTCCAGAGCACTTGCAGACCTTGACTCTGCAATCATCGATAAACGCTTCAAGCCACCATTGAGTGCTGTATCGCTGCCACCTCTGGAATGCGTCGAATTGGACCGTGTGACCTGAGTCAACATCCGGGGCTTGCGTGAACTGGCGCCAGCCAAGGAGATGGAGCGGTAGAGTCCTCCAGCGGGTTGATGCAGCTCAGCGTTCATGTTCGGTGAAGAGCGCGAAGATAGAAGGACGCTGTGTCGCGCTTTACTCAAGTTGTCTTCCATGGTAGTTAATCTTTTCCTTGCTTGTGCTAAGATCTTTTCTGCCCGTTCATTGAGCAGCGCCATTTCGTCCTCAGCACCCATCCCAACCATACTATTCCTTTTACTATCACTCCCGTCCACCTTGTCGTCCGGCACTTTGGCGACATCGGCAGCAAGTCGTTCATTCATAATCTTGGACGTATCAAAGTTCTCCCAGTCCCCCAGATCCGACCCCGTACTCGATGAAGATTGCGTACTGAGTCTTCGCGACTGTCGCATGTTTGCACCACCAGGTGTAGGTGACGGCGGGTCCGAATGTGCAAAATAATCCGTTGCTCGACTCTTCCTTGATATCGGGGTCTCCTCTTCCCCGATATCACTGAGCGGCGCACCGTGTTCGTAGCCATAGTAGTTTGTGTCGATTGGGGCCACCATGCGTGGCGGCATTCGGACCGTTGTCGCAACTCCTAATTCCATGGGCACCTCGTAGTCAGGTGAAGTCAACGACACAGCGGAATCGGGTCGCGCAGGGGAAGGTGATGCCAGTAGTATAGGGGAGGAAGCCAGTGGTATTGGGCTTGGATTTTCGAGAGGTCGATATGGAAGGATCATATCCGGGTTTGTCAGGGCTGGTGACGGAGGGGTCTCTTGAGTGAAGAGGTCATGGGGGATCGGGTGTGCATGTGCGTGGGCCATGACTGCGTCTTTGGCGGTTCTAGAAAGTTGCGACAGTGCATATGTCAAGATTTGACAGCAATTGACAGGTTGCGATCGGGAACCGAGAAGAACAAATCGGTCAGGGATCTCGCCCCCTCAATGGCTTCTCCGATGTTCGAGCTGTGAAGCGGACCAGGTCGCGCACTCGGGGTGCTTGTGTTCGGGCTTTTGGCTGAACGATGAGAAATAACAACAGTGTATCGTATGACAATGGACACGGATGTCGCAGTTGCGCAAATGGCCCGAAGAAGAACAGAAGAATAACAGGAAGAATTGGTCCACCAAGACGCCTAGCTAGCGACCCAGAGAAATCGATACGGAGTCGTCAGTCCAGCCACATTAGTCCAAGCTGAAGCCCAAGCAAAAAAAAAGACGATGCCCCGGGAACTTGGACCATGCGGTATGAAGCAAGATGCGTGAGCACTCGTACGGAGTATTTGTTTCACGCTTCCCAGCCGCTTGGAGATCGCGAGATTGTGGCCTTTTTAGGCCTGATGTTGGAGTCGAGAGGACAGAGAGAATGACGGGGGATGCTGAACAGGCCACCTCAGTGGCTAGAACGGTCACTCCGGAGGCCTTGGTTGGGGCTACCGAAGGCCCCGCCACCAAGTTCTTAGGGGAGCTTCCAGGCACGAGGAGGTTCTCCTACCTAGTACAATAGTAGCTAAGGGACTAGAGGCCACTCCCGCCTAAACGCGTGCCCGTTTGGTGATTCTGGCCAGGGCTCCCCTGTTCTTCTTTCGGCTCCCTGCCTGCCTAGTGGATTCCTTCATTTCTTCCGCAGATCTACGTTGTCGTCTTCGTATCGTGTCCGTCCAGCAACCACTTTCGCTTCCACTCCGAGTAGAAATTGGAACGAAAACGTTATCAAGTCACTGCCAACCGCTCTTCAACACTGACTATCTACTGTGTATGCTTTGTGCCTAGCTGAGCTAGTGAGAAACATTGCTGGCTGGAAAGTGTGCTAATTCATAAAGCCTCACTCCAACCACTCCGAGCTGAATGGGTACAGGAAGCACAGTAGAAACAGGACTGGGTTGTTCAAGTGATCAACATGCCTGCCTTTGTGCTACTCCCTGCATCTCCTTCAGACCTGGAGTCTATCGTTCGACTCCAGTTTAAAGCCTGTGCCGACGATCAAGGCTTTCCAGTCATTTTCCCCAAGGGCGCCTCCCTGTCTTCCATTACACACTTGGTGCATTCATACGAAAACGATATGGAAAATGATCCCACGTGCTTCATCATGATAGTCAAGGAGGCAATGTCAGGTGAAATCGTCAGCTATGCTGTGTGGCATTTCTATCCGCCCAGATCGCAAGAAGAGATCGACCTGGAGATGCTGGTCGAAAACATCCCACTTCCTATCGACGCAAATCAAGAGCTTGGAAATAGATTGATCCGTGAAAGCACTAGAAAGCGACACGAAGTCGTGGCGGCGACGATTGGACCTCAAAGGGCCTATGCTTGTGAGTCTTTATAGGTGTCTGAGTTCGCTGCCCAAACACCTCTCCTTCCTCAAACATTTGTATTTCACCGCGCTTAGTGCCTGACATAAATACTGCAATAGTCCTAGCTGCACTGGGTACAAGTCCTCGATTCCAGAGGCAAGGAGCAGGGTCCTTACTAATCACTTGGGGCCTGGAGAGAGCTGATGATCGGGGCCTTGCTACGTATGTAGAAGCATCTCCCGGCGCCTTGAAACTGTATGAGAATCATGGCTTCCATGAGGCCAGCCGATTGAAGCTGGACATGGCACCATGGAAAGAAGGCAACTATTTCAATACGTGTATGGTTCGGGAGCCGACGACAAGCTGACGCTTCCACCGAAAAATTGTCGTCAGCTTGATGAGCCTCGGTGCCGATGTCCTGCTGAAACCCTTGGATCCCCACCATCCTTGTCTGCCGCTAATCAGGGATCTGCCATTGCAAGGCTCTTGTGGCTTACATGCCAAAAGTCTGACTGACGACCACGCATATCAGCTTCAGGCAAACAGCGAGGGCATTTACGACGTTGCAAATCTTCCCGAAGGTGTACTTTCTTCTAGTGTTCTACTGTTGGTTGGTGACTCAAAGATGCACTGTCTAGGCGAGAGAGATGCACTTCTGTCAAAGTGCCTCAGAAATAAGACGCTGACATTTCACACGAAGTACTACAAGCAAACTTGATCTACTAAGCTTTCATATCTCGCAACATGCAGTCCACAACCAAGCTTCGAAAGCAGAACTCTTCATGCGATCAGTGTCGCCGGTCAAAGCGACGATGCGGTATGCCTGGGGATGTCTCATCTGATGCTGTTCGTACTTGTTTGAACTGTCTGCGCCTTGGCCACAATTGTACCTTTGACTTTGTCACTTCTCGGAAACCACAGAAGAGACAGAAAACTCCGTGTACTCCAGCACCGAATGCCGCAGAATCGGCGGGTAACGGTTCACTCCTTGATGATGTGGAAGAGTCGCCTTTTCCCTCTTCGACATATCCTGACATTCCAAATCCTGTCTCAAATGCCTCCTTGTGGCAACAACTGTTAGGATTAGGCACCCCAGCTGGTGACATGTTTTTGGAGAATCTTGCCTCGGAATGGGCCAAGGTTATGCCTAATAACCAGAATACTGAAAATTCACGTCGGCCGACGGAATCTTGTGATACTGTTGTGGTAGCAACAGAAGCAACTGATCGCCGCGACGAAAAGGCCGTTGCAGCCAGGGGCAGGAACTTGATAGGCTCATGGCGAGGATCTCCAATTCGCCTCCTCAATTCGAGTGTTGAACTACTGTTGCTCAACCAGAGCTTGGGCGAGATATATGAATGCATGATGTCTGGAATTGCCATCAGATACCTGGACTACAACTGCAATCTTTTCGCAGGATCTTATCGGTATTCGTTTGATGCCGATTGCCCTGAGCCCGCAATATCGGAGCAGGAGTCGACAAAGACCTTGGCCACAACCTATACAGCTGCATGGAAACAAAAGACTCCGAGCAGCTCTATGAACCCTCGGATTCAAAGCAAACTCTCACTCGAGATTTTGTCGAGCCAGATCAACAAGGTTACTATGATCGGCATTGCTAGATTTCTTGATAACTTTGGTTCCTTGTATGGGAATATAATAGACGCAAAGGCGCGGAAACAGAACGAGCGCACCTTGACGGCAGTCTTGCAGGCATTTGCTCTTCAATTCGGCCCTTGTCGCCAGGACAAAGAATCAAGAGACCATCAACCTAATCCTTTCGAGACAGCTGGTCATGTATCTAGCTTAGACACATCCTTGGAAGCTTCTACCAGTACAAACACTCCCATGTTTATTACTGCCTGGCTAAACGCTTATGCATTTCTGGCTGAGCCGCAACAGTGCCGCTCTTTCCTCCGCTTGTATGCGGTCTTCCTCTTCATGATGACTACCATGCCATCGGAGGCACAAGTGGACGGGCGTGTCCATGTTGACGCTCTTGATATCCTTGATGATGCGCTCAGGCAAATGCTGGAGTTACGTGAGCTGATAGACAGCTACTGCTCTCATCTCGACAATATGTCGATATACAAATTCCTCTTCCAATCGTCCTTCGGCATCTTTGGCTGGTATGCATATCTGCGAGATACAATTGCTTCGGTATTGAACCCGCGGACATTCATCCTTGATGATGCGCCTTTGCCATTAAAAGGTACTTGATATCCATCCAACGCCTCCGACCAGCTTATACTGATGCGACGTACCAGGTTTACAGTCACCGCCAGCAGCAGTAACCACTGAGACTGCATGGGGTCATTTCAATACTTTTGATACCGGGGTACCATCAAGCTGTCAGAACGCTGCTGGTGATCTTTTCCATCTCTTTAGACAAGTTGTCAGACTCAGAGAGGCCACTTCTGCATCAGAAACAAGGTTCGATGTGATCAATCTGCGAGACCGAGTTTATGAATCCATAGCTACGATGGAGGCGTATACGTCCTTGTACGGGTCATGGCTTGAGCAGTGCATCATCTCTTTCTATGTACTCTCGGAAAAGTCCAAACTGTCATCAGGTAGGTTTCCAACTCTGCTCGTATCAGAAGATCGATCTGATGGCCCTGCAGCATTTCTACTTTTATTCTGGAACCTTGCACGCTTCCAACTAGTTGAGCAGTTGCATTTTGCTACGGCCCTTCTTCTTGCCGACGAAAAATGCCAAATATTGGAACGAGCTCAATTTTTTCAAAGCTCAGCAGTGCACTCTGCCGCCGCTACAGCACGCCGCATTGTCGACGTCTCATCCACGGGGCAATTTAAACTGCTGAATAGCACACAAGCACGACTACAATTCATCTGCCATCACGCCAATACAAGCCTGGTTGTCTTGTCCCTCGTTAAAGCCGTAGAACATACCATCGATCTAAATATTCCATCAGGATGCGGAGATACGAGTACCTGCAATCTATCGACGAGTCTGGATTCTACTGACCTGTGGATGGATGATGTCAAGCCAATTTTGACTTGTCTTCTCGCCATGGGGACAACAATCTCTGGCTCATATACAGCGAGACCAGCGCTACAGCAGCTTATGCAACAATACGGTGACATCCTGATGGACTGTTGGTCTCATGAAGAATCTCTGGATGTCATCTGATGAGAGGGATATAGACATGCGAAGCAGAGGGCCAGGATCCTTCTCCGTCTCAGACAGAAGGTTAACTGTACCCACTCAACGTTGACAACATTATATCCGTGACACCAGCAGTGACATATCATCATCATTGACGCTGACAGCTCTCTGTGAAAGGCGTGTCTGATGATGTTTGCTTCAGAAATGTATCTCCAGAAATGTATCTCTTGTCTGGAATTTTTGGTGCTTATTTCATGTCCAAAAAAAGAGACACCTGCGGATCCGGAGGCCGAGGTGCTGACTTAGCAGACTCAGGCTCCGAGGCTGAACTCCTACATCACAATACTCCTTGTGTTGTTAGTCATCCTATTGCAATTTACATTGGAACGATTGCTCACCTGAGCAGGTACGCTGAGAGCCGTTCTGCAGAGGATATATAACGCTTCTCGAGTTCGGCGAAGCGAACAGGACGAACTCCATCAAGCCAAAACTTCGTAGACAGCGACGATACATCGTTACTGTCCCTCTCAATCATCATGCCACACGCCTCAAGATGGAGATTGTCCATCCCAGAAATAACCATACCTTCCTTCATGTTCGGCTCTGCCGATGCCAGCCTTGATGACAACGAAAAAATCTTCGTCAATGCCAAACGTCCGAGTGAACAGTACCTTACTCTTCATGCTTATCGAGAATGGGCGAAGCGGTTTGCCTCTGGTCTGCAGCTCTCGGGACTGGAAGAAGGAGATCGCGTCATGCTGTTCTCCGGCAATGGCATCTTCAATCCAATTGTCGTCATGGGATCGGCCATGGCCGGTGCCATATACAACAGCGCCAATCCGGCATATACTCCTCGCGAACTTGCGCACCAACTGAAAGACGCCGACCCACGGATTATCCTTGCCGCCGATAACTGCATTGATCGCGCAGTCCAAGCTGCAGACATGATTGGCATGGACAAAAGCAGGGTCTTCCTCTTCACTGACCCTCCGATGGACCACACAGCACACCTACAGAGTCCGAATACAAAACACCAGCATTGGATCACGCTCATCGCCGAGCCAGAAGCGGGCAAGGCCTTTACCTGGAGAGATCCAACAGTTTCAGACTCTGCCTCGCGCACCGCACTTCTAGTTTATTCCTCGGGCACGACGGGTCTCCCAAAAGGCGTCGAGCTCACGCACCGTGGCGTTATCGCGAACGTGCTTCAGCTCAAGCAGATGCAATTTTCAAAGGGCGACAAGTCTGCAAGACGAAATCTGTGCGTTGTTCCCATGTATCACGTTCTCGGTCTGCATTATTACACTTTCACCGCACCTAAATGGGGCATTCGGACGGTGTTGATGGAGCGCTACAACCTGCCAGATATGTTGGACCACATTCAACGATTCAAGATCACAGACTTGCTCCTCGTTCCTCCGATCTTGGTGGCCATGGCGAAACACCCCTCCGTCCGTGATGGAACATGTGATGTCAGTAGTGTACAGAGGGTTATAGCTGGTGCCGCTCCTATCGGCATGGAAGTGACGAAGCAATTTGAAGAGCTTTTCGGGGGCAGATTGAAGGTGCGGCAAGCATGGGGCATGTCCGAGTAAGCTTAGAAGCATCCCTTTGTTGTGCTGGTTTGGGCATTACGACTGATCGAGACCATCGCTAATGCGCGCAAGCAGGACACCAGCTATCACGTTGTGCTGGGATGAGAGGGACCACCAGGGTACCTCGTCAATCTCCATCGGTGAACTCATACCGGGCTGTGAAGCTATGCTCGTCGATGAAGATGGCCGAGAGGTCACCGGCCCTGGGGACCCGGGCGAATTCTGGATCCGCTCCCCCAACATGCTGAAAGGGTATTGGCGTAATGTCCAGGCCACCAAGGACACAATCACGCCGGACGGGTGGTTGAAGACGGGCGATATTGCATACAAGGATGAGGCTGGTAAATGGTACATGATTGACCGCAAGAAGGTAAGATGCTTCATACAGTTTCCGTGCCCACTTGCAGAAGTTTTTGGGCAAGGTTTGCTGACCCCATACAACCGACAGGAATTGATCAAGGTTCGTGGAGCACAAGTCGCGCCCGCCGAGTTGGAAGCGTTATTGCTCGAACACCCTCAGATCGTGGATGCAGCCGTGATTGGAATCAAAACGTACAGTGACAGGAAGCCGTTTGACAAAAGAGACATTCTGACCACATCAAAATAGGCCGACTGATGACGAGGACCCTCGTGCTTATGTGGTGTTGACTCCAAACGCTACGACGACGGCTGAGGATGTGATCAAGTACGTCAATACGCGCGTGTCGAAGATCAAACACCTCACTGGTGGTGTTGTGTTTATTGACGCCATCCCCAAGAATCCGGTAAGGCCCCAAGGGAAACAAAGTTTGCTCTTGGACTGGCAAATTGATGCGGTTATTTATTTAGTCTGGCAAAATGCTTCGAAGACAACTCAGGGATCGTGCTGCAAAGGGCGCCGCAACATCAAAGTTGTGAATTCTTTTTTGTTTGTGTATGGATGATGTAAAATCGGACTTTTGTCGTGGCGATGCAGAAGATCACAAATGATTCGAAACTGGTTAATTTATGTTTATAGATGGGGGCCTTTCAATTTATCCAGGCCCAAATGTCGAGCCACTTGTCCGAGATGGTCAAAGCCCCAGTAGAACTCTTCTTCACCTTGTGTATTAACAGCCTTGAGCCATGGAACACCCGGGGAGCCACTAGCTATGCAATCATTTGTATTGGATTTAAGTAGGTTTTTGATTTCTTCCGTAGAGCTCTGATGGAATTCATTGTCTTGTTAGTTTTTGGTGCGGGATACAGTATTGTGTTTCAAGTTTTCTCCATTGACTTGAATGTTTGGTGGAAAAGAAAAGAAAAAAAAAGAAAACTAATACACACCCTGTTAATGACCTTCTTCGCCGATTCCTCGCCCAAAAATTCTACCGCGATCGGCTCGTATACTTCGGGCAGCTGCACGGCCTTTTTCTCCACCCAGAAAGCGTGATAGAGGGCCGCAATTATGTCGGGATACTGCTTCGGACATTCCAGCGAACACGCCGTCAACAGTCTTTCAGCCTTCAAGGTGGTCGATTTGAATGGATAGTTCGCCGGCCACCCTGGCATCCACGGGATGTTGTAGTCGCGAGCCCACCGAGCGATGTCCGTTGACATGTATGATGGTTTGTCTGTGTGTGGTATTTAGTTTTGAGCCGGGGGCAGGTGAACCACAGTATGGTGGTTTGAAGGGCAGGTGTTCTCCGCAGGTTACGTATGCAGAGACAGACAGACAGACAGGGAGACATGAAACGTACTGGGACTACTCCATGGTGGTTGAAGGCCCACTGCCTTGATGAACGCCACGAGTAAGACGGGAATGTATGTGATGTCGCATTGTTCGAAGACTGGAGAGGTCTGGCCGGAATTGTCAGTGTCAATGGGTGGTGGATGTTCGTTGATCAATTAATCGACCGAATGAGGAGAGCAAAGACGGGATGGGATATTGGTACGCTGTACACAATTGCTTACATGGATTAAGTAGAAGGCGAGGTATGTGTAAGGGCTGTGAAGGTCGAAGTACAGGGTGAGTTGTGGACGTGGCATTTTTGTAACCATGTTTCGTTACTTCATGTTACGTTCGGACCAAGCTGGCAGATACCCAAAAGGTTTCTTTCTAAAAGTCGCCGAAAAGTTCATGTATATTATCGATGGACTTGAGGTTGTTGAAAGGAAGTCCGGAGTGCAAACTACAGTATTTACATACCCTACATATATAGCGGGAAGGAGTCACCCGGTGACAAGTTAATCCGTTCCTCGGTCATTGCGGCTCCGACGACCTTCTGTGGCTGACTCGCATTACCTCGTACGTACGAGTATGACAAAGGCCTTCGGCTTATGAGTTCGCCTCCGCATCATCTTTGAAAGGCGGCAATAATAACAACGACCGAAAGATAACGACATGTGAGCGTCGATGACTGACTGCGGTCTATCATGACGGGCAAAGATAACGAGGCCTACTCCCAACATGTGACCTGGACAGTAGAAGAAGGAGAGAGCGGTGGCTCGGAGAGAGACGCGCTGAAAGCTATTGACCCTGCTGGATTTTATATCCGACAACCGCCCAAGCCTCATGAGCTCGGCGGTGACGTGACGGATGAAGAACATCTTTTTCAGACAATCCACATGGGTGCGGCGGTCGTCGATGAAGACAATTGGAAACTCGTGGTGGACGGACAGGTAGAACGCGCGTTTTTCGTGAATCTAGCACAGTTGAAAGCAATGCCCAGGACGACCATCACATCTTTCCACGAGTGTTATGGGAGTCCAGTGGCACCGCCTACCACCGCATTATGGAGGATCGGCAATGTTCAATGGACAGGCGTCCGTCTGGCAGAACTACTGCGTATCGCCCGACCTAGACCCGCAGTCACTCACGTTTGGTCCCAAGGCTTGGATCACGGCTCGTTTGCGAACGTCGCTGCTGACAAGTACGAGAAGGACCTCACGTTGGAAAAGGCGTCTGCTCTCGAGGTGTTGGTCGCATTCGAGATGAACGGAGCACCACTGACCAAGAACCGCGGAGGTCCTGTAAGGCTAGTGGTGCCTGGATGGTTCGGCACCAATTCTACAAAGTGGCTTTGCAGACTTTCTCTGCGAGATGGTCGTGCTTCGGGTCCCTTTACCACGAAATTCTACAATGAGGTTGATCCCACTGACGAGACTGGGCACAGAATGAGGCCGGTGTGGATGGTCGAGCCCAACTCGATGATAGTCAGACCCAAGCCGGAAGAGACCTTGTCGGCGCAACAAAAGATCGAGGCCTGGGGCCGTGCATGGGGTGGTCAGGAGATCATCCGAGTCGATCTGAGTCTCGACGATGGTAAGAGCTGGACTCCTGCGAATGTGACGCCCAGAAAACAGTTCGAATGGCAGCTTTGGAGGGGCGATGTCAGCGTGGATGTTCCGGGGAGATATCGATTGATCGCAAGGGCCACAGATGACAATAATGTCGCTCAGCCGTTGGCCGGAAGAAGAAATCACGTACACCATGTGACGGTTACGGTGGAATGAGGCTCAGCAGTAGGTCGAGACCTTGCTTAGACTTGTTGATGTACGTAGTGATTCATGATCAATGCACGATGCCACCACTGTGATTGATGATCTCTGCTTGGTGCAGCGTTCCTTGTTCATGTACTTGTAATAACTCTTATGAGACATTTAGCGGTGGTGGACTATATCGACAGGCTTCCTCTCTCAGGCTTCCTCTCTCGATCTTCCTCTCTCGGTCAAGTTGCCCGTAATTTTTTCAGCCTCGCACTTAAATGACAAAATTTAACGGGGTGGGAGAAGTTTTCCTAGCCACCGACAAATCCATCTTTCTGTCTCCATTTGCTTTGCTGCTACGGAGTACTTGATCAATGATTTCCTATGGGTTGATGGAACTTTTATTGCTGACAGGCTGTACAACATCCCCTGGATCCAATTCCACCAAAATTGTACCTACGACCCTGTCATCTCGTCCGCTTATCCGAAGAGTGGTGGGTATGGTTCTTTACAATAACAAGCTGAAACGTAGAATCCTTGCCGGTCTAGGTTTGTTGATTGTTCAAGTCAAAGAGCGATTACCGACATCGAGAGGGCTTCTCCTGTCACCAAAGCTCCGATCCTGTCACCCTTTCTAGAGGTACCGTTCTTTTTGCTCGGGTAAATGGCACGATCGATAGGCAAGGCTGAATCCTAGGAAGTCCTGTTCTTCCTTGGGCAGATTTGCGAACGGCAAACGGCAGACGGATCGCGCACCAGCGTCCTGGCCCCCCATGCTACACATGCTCCGATGGGCCTTTGCCCTTTTTCACCGACTGCCACGGCGTCATAGCCTGATTGCCACCCCCCGCATGAATATCGACGTGGTTTGTGCCCTGAGCCTGGAACAACCAATAGATATCGGGTTACATTCCAGCCTTATGTGGAGTCTGGACCACTTCGAATTTTTTTTTCCATCCCGTTACCAAATTTTTCCCTTTGACAAGCATCACAGGCTGCACTTCAAGGATCATGCCACGTTTGGGACGAATGAAAATCACTAACCAGAGTTTCATTGCAGAGCTTGCCTTGGCGAATCCCTGTTCAGGTCACCCGTACGGAGTCCTAACAATTTTTTCCTCCTGTTCTGACTCGCTGCGCCTCCATCTTGCTTTTTACATCGTTGTCAACAAACATGGTCTTGGTCTATCCACCACCCGACCGGCCAATGCCGAAGGTATCAGCATGGTATCGCGTGGTCGACCGGTGCCAGATTTTGCCTTGTGCTTCATCCTATGTGGCGCTGTGATCCATGGGGGACCCGTAAATCCCAAACGATGAACAGGGTTGATCAATTCTCTGGTAGGTCCTTGGGTATATAGACGAGGCAAAGTCCCACAGCTGTCGAAAGTTTGTCACTGCATCGATTTCCTCTTGGTGAAGGCGCGCCCAAGTGACTCTTTGTTGACTACCCTCAAGCAACACTCCCTCAAGCACCACTGCCTCGAGCGACAACCCCCAAGCAACACACCAGTACAAACACTTCTCCCTTTGCAGCAAAACCATGAGCGACACCATGAGCGAGAGCAGCAAGAAGGTAGAGATCGTCGACGGTCTCCGAATGACGATGTCAAACCAGGTTCCATCTCTGAAAATGCCGACAAGCTCCAACGAAGACTGAACAACCGCCAGATTCAGCTCATCGCCATAGGCGGCTCAATAGGTACAGCCCTCTTCGTGAGTATTGGTGGCGGTCTCGCGAAGGGTGGCCCTCTCAGTTTGTTCCTCGCCTTCACCATCTATTCGTGCATGCTCGGTCTGGTCAACAATTGCATGGCCGAGATGGCCACACTACATCCTGTCACTGGTGGTTTTATCCGTATGGCCGGTAAATGGGTCGATGACGCGTTTGGATTCATGGCCGGCTGGAACTTCTTCTTCTACGAAGCTCTCCTGATCCCGTTCGAAATTACCGCTCTCAACTTGGTCTTGTCATTCTGGACTGATGCTATTCCTACTGCAGCCGTCTGCGCCGCTTGCATCGTGCTTTACGCGTGAGAAATAACCCCCTAAGCGACCATTTCAAAAAAACAAAAAGGTTGTCGAATTTCCTTGTTGCCAAAATGCTGACTCTTGTTATCTAGCGCCATCAATGTCCTCGCTGTCCGAGGATATGGAGAAGCCGAGTTCTGGCTATCAGGAGGTAAAGTCATCCTGATTGCGATTTTGTTTTCTTTCACCTTTATCACCATGGTGGGAGGAAACCCCAAGCACGACGCGTACGGGTTCCGATACTGGAAGAACCCGGGTCCCATGGCCGAATACCACACCAAAGGTAGCCTGGGTCGTTTCGAGGGCTTTCTCGCAGCGTTGTGGAACGCCTCCTTTGCCGTCGTTGGACCCGAGTACATCGCCATGGTCGCCGCCGAGGCCAAACGCCCACGCATCTACATCCGCAACGCCTTCAAGACGGTGTACTGGCGATTCGGCATCTTTTTCATCTTGGGCGCGCTCTGCGTCGGCATCGTCGTTCCTTACAACGACCCCACGCTCGTGGCCATCCTGGACGGCACCCAAGGTGGATCCGGAACCGCGGCGGCGTCCCCTTACGTGATCGCCATGAAGAACATGGGCATCTCGGTGCTCCCTCACATCACCAACGCGCTGATGATCACGTCCATCTTCTCCGCGGGCAACACGTACACGTACTGCGCCACGCGCAACCTCTACGGCCTTGCGCTCGAGGGCCGCGCGCCCAAGTTCCTGACGAGGTGCACGGGCAACGGCGTGCCCATCTACGCCTTCGCCATCGTCATGTGCTTCCCGCTCCTGTCGTTTCTGCAGGTGTCGAGCGGCTCGTCGCAGGTCCTCACCTGGCTGGTCAACCTGATCACCGCCGGCGGCATCATCGACTACATCGTCATGTGCGTCACGTACTTGTTCTTCTACAATGCGTGCAAGGTTCAGGGCCTCGACCGCAACTCCTTCCCTTACACCGGTTGGTTCCAGCCGTACTCCGCGTACATTGGCCTGGCGTGGATGTGCATGATTGTCTTATTTTACGGGTACTCGTCCTTCACCCCATGGGACGTCGGTACCTTTTTCAGCTACTACACCATGGTCATTGTGGCTCCCGTCTTGTTTGTCGGCTGGAAGCTTCTCAAAAAGACCAGGTTCGTGGGGCCCCGCGAGGCCGATCTTGTCTGGGAACGACCTGTTGTTGATGCTTACGAGGCATCCTTTATAACTCCTCCCGTTGGGTTTTGGACAGAGATGTTGCAGCTCGTGGGACTCAGAAGGGGCAAGAAGGATGTTAGACGCGAGTCTATTTGAGGTCGTGCTTGGGCACTTTTTCCAGGCTACGAATCTGGATGTTGGACCTGGGCATGGATGATTTTCACCGATTTCTTTGTTAACTTTTCAGTTTTTAAATTTTACGACTCGGAGATCTACTGAGATAAATCAATCATGATGACCTTTTATTTTTTTCATCAACATCGCCACCTGGTCAAATGTTTCCTACTGAATATCAATTATTCAAGTATGGGTTATTGATGTTTTCAGAAATACTGTCCTCCAGAGACGTCCAATCATTTTTGTCTGCCCACTTTTTCAGCAGAGCGAGAGACTCGGACTGATCGACCGATACTTTAAGGTGGTAAGGGTCGGGGTAGTCATCGATGAACAATTTTCCTGGACGAAGTTTGCGCAAAATACCCAACACGTCGTTCCAGTGAGTGCTGCGACCCCAAGTTTGCAGGCGTGCGTTCTTGACCTCGGGGTCCAAGACGGCAGCGACATGAACCAATGCCACATCTTTGACGTCGGCGTAGAATGCTACACATAACAAAGTTAGGTAAAGCACAACAAATAGACATACACGTGCGCTGGAAGGATTTCAAGGGAGATGAAGAAGATCTGGCTGGATATAACCGAAAGGCAAAAGCAAATGTTGGGCTTTCATGAAGAATCTTCTCAACATACAAGCTTGCATAGCATCCATGACGACCTTGTTCCCCTTATAAGCATGGACGATCCAATTTGCTTGTCCCTCTATGTGTTTCCTGTTTAGGGGTTCCCCTATGATACCTGCCGGGGACACGACGTTGACGTTGAATGGTATCTTGTCGTTTCGGTCTTGAACAAATTTCCAAACTTCTTTTTCAGCGGCGACTTTGCTGGCAGGATAATTCACCATTACCTGGGACATTTCATAAGGAGGACCACGGGCCCAAGCTGCCTCGAGAGCTGCGTCGTTCCAAGATGTCCTGTCCACAGCCCCGTTGTCCACGTGCTGGGAGAGAGGCGACGTCGCCACGGCGCTACTGGTAAATACAATCTCCTTGATTGATGAGCCTGAGCGTGAGGACTCTTGCAGGGCCGCTTCCAGAATTGACCTAACCCCAACCACCGAGGGAGTGATGACTTCGTTCGGGTCCGGGGATATTTTGGTCACGTAGGCGATGTGTAGGACGGCCGAGACGCCCTTTATGGCTTCGTCGTAGGCGTCTGCCACGCCGAGGTCAGGTACGGCGACGAGGTCGAGGGCGCCGGAATCCGTATAATCCTTGAAGCGCCCTTGAACAAGCCATGACGACGCTTGAACGTCTCGAACGGTTCCTCGGACTCGGTACCCCAAGACCAAAAATTGCCAAATGACGTGAGAAGCAAGAAACCCACTTGCACCGGTCACAAGGACCAACGAACCTGGAGGGATGGTTGTAGCTGGAGAAGACATTACAATGTATTGTGGATGGTGTTGATATATATATGAATGCTCGGGGACTGACCTGGATGCCAATGGTCACTGTAGGGAACGTCGAGCGGATGGGATGCCCTTTATACCTTTAACTATACCTACATTCCTCACTGTTCACTTCATTGTTCCGCTCTACCTATACCTCATGTTCCATCGGGTTGGGTCATGGCTTGCCTCGGATCCACCATCGTGAGGCCGGTAGCCAGAATAGGAAGTGCTACTTCTTGGCGACGGGGTCTCACTTTGGTCTGTAGCCAACTCGAGGGGGCTCCACAGTACAGCTGGACAA